CAGTCTCAATAATCATTGTACCTATTGCTGACTATATTAATTACTCTTCAAATTCAGCCACCACCACGCTGAATATTACATTACCTAAAGACGAAATTGCAAAGTTAACTCCAACTACACATACATATGTATAATATATAATATTATACTTGGAGGAAGGAGGCAGAAAAAAATGGTTAACATATACAAGTAATTATATAAGTATAACAAAGAGAAAATATGCAGAGCTTCTACAGTCCTCACTTCTGTAACTGCACACAAGGTCATAGCTGATATGATATCTATGGCTTTCTTCTTTTGCTACCTCTTATTTCACTTGCCCTCTGCTAAAATATCAGCTGATCCTTACCTCATGGAATGATGCAAATTTTCATTAATAAATGGTCTGATTCTGCAATAGTTCTACCTTTTTTTGTTTGTATGTTGTGTAAATTTTCCACATACAGTCCTTCTTCATGCTATTGTATAACAACAACTCAATTTCTCCTTCATAGTCAGAATCAATCAATTGCTCTAGCTAGTAGAGTAACCCGTTTCTTCCTGGTTTAGTGGCATAAGGAGGCCAAAATGGCCAGGTGGTGGTTTCATCCTCTAACTCAACAGAACCTTTGTTATTGCCCACGCTCCACCCCCCCCCCCCCCCAGTGGAAGCATAGCTCTCTTGGGATCAAAGATTTCAAAATGGAGAGCTCAAATTTGCCAAGATGGCATTAATATTCTAAGTGAGTTATTAGGTATAACAGTGAGAGGAGTTACTACCACTTCCACTATTTGATTCCTGAACTATGTCTTCTGGATATGGGGGAGATAGCACCATATAATGGTCTTTAAATCAAAGCATATACCATATGCTTTAAGACAGAACTCCATTCTTTTAGGGTATTGTCTCCCATTTGGCACTGTAACTGAGCCTTCAATAAGCTATTTCTCATTCAATTAGGTCAACCTCTTCTTGGTGATGGGAAATGTGTTAAGATCAGTTAATTCAATAAAGATGATCCTATTGCTTTACTTCCTTTGCAGTGAAACGAATACACATTGGCCAGAAGCAGTACTATGTGAAATACCATAGTGGAAGATAAATACTCCATGAGTCCAGGGATGGTATTGTGAGGTGTATTATAAATAGAGAAAGCAAATATATATGCAGAATATTTCCTTATTCCACTGAGGATGAATCTCTGCACCTTCCATAATAGTAGAGGTCCAATACACTCAACCTTCCAATAGGTTGCTCCCCCAGGGAATGGTGGCATTAACAGGAACTAACTGTTGGTCTCTGCTGTTGACATATTAGGCATCAAGCAGTATCATTAATAAGAGTGAAGACATGCTTTTGAGCTCATGTATAGCCTTCACCTCTGCAACCACTGCTACTTTGTTCATGGACCCATTGAAGAAACACTGATGTTGATGGGGACATCTAAAGGGCACCTAATTTTGTCCACCTATTATTAAAAGCCCTCTGCAGTAGACATCCAATGGTGGGCATTCACACAGGACAAAAATATCTTCTATATCCTGTGCCCCTTTAGACATCCAGCCATATACCTCTTCTCTAGAATTCTTTGTCATTTATCTCCCAAGTCTATTCCATCTAGCCTATTAGAAATTGCCCACAAATAAGAGAATTTTATTTCTGGCCATCTCTCACTCCAGGCAAAGTGACCAAAGTGCCACTTGAAGTGCCAACCAAGGTTAAGATTTTCTTTCACCACCTTACTTCAGTCACTCCTGTGTAGTACTGTAGTGCTACAGCTGTCTACTTTGAGGTGGTACCAGAGTATCATGCCTATCATTTGTAAACTAGCCTCAAGACTTTTATTCCTCAGTCAATTGGTTGTAAGGAACTCCCAAGAGGCCATGGAGGGATGGAGGAGATGGTGCAACAGGTGTCAATATTGAAGGACTCCTGAGTCAAGTCACCTGCTCATGCAATTTGTAATTTCTGGAACAGTCCAATATTGATTTCCATTTCATGATGTGCACATACAACATTATGTCTAGGTGAATGTGGTAGGCTTTTGTTTCCCCTGCCTAAGGAGACATATCTAGAAAATCTTGCTAAGGTCAATATCAAAGAAATTATTGCCTATGTTTTCTTATAGGTATTTTATAGTTTCATCTCTCACACTTAGATCTTTAATCTATGTTGAGTTTATTTTTGTGTATAGTGTAAGAAAGTGGTCCTGTTTCATTCTTTTGCATGTAGCTGTCCCAAGCAAAAACATTTTAAGCAGACTTTTTTAAAGGATAATAGGCCTGCTATGTTAACTCTTTTCTGCACAGAAGCTTAGGGTAGTTACATGATAGACGGGCACTGAGTCTCTGACAATTTCTCCTGGTAGACAACATTTCACATGTGTCACAACTCACACCTGGAAGAATTAATTATGTCTTGTGTGATTCCACTGGAATAGGACTCTTGGAAGCTTGTACCTGTTTTCTTTAGACTTCATCTTATGCAAGTCACTTTGCTGATTTTGCTTTGTAAAATCCTGTAATAAATCTTAGCTATGACTATATGCTGAGTCTTGTGAGTTCTCCTAGCAAATCACTGACTCTAAGACATGGTCTTGAGAATTACTAGTATAGCTCCATTTTTACTGGTGGGGCACAGTGGCACTTTGAGCCCCTAATGATTAGTGTCACTCTGGAGCCAGTGTCTAGTAATTCTCCAAAGATTTGGGTATTTCTTTTTTCATAATGCCCAATCTAGTAACGGCTGCAGGCTCCGTAGGGGAAAGTGGGGAGGAAGACTTACGGTATATACTCATGTGAATGCTTCAAGATTCCTTCTAAGGTTACCTAGACTCCCCTTAAGTCAAGAGGCTCTGTTTGTGAATTGATTTATGTCTAGTACTGGGTGAGATGCTTTGATTCTCCTGTGGCAAGTCAAGTCAAGTCAGGATTTTGGGTACCCAATCTAGAGGGTTTTTTCCTGTTATATAGCTCAAGCAACACTCTAGTAGACTATTTTATTCCTAGGGATATTATGGTCAATTATCCATAGTCAAAGATCCCTGAAAGCCTAAGCATTCTGATTACTGATAACATGCTACCTTTTACAGCAAATGCACCCACCTTGTCTTTGATGTCAAAGCGCTGCCATCTGGCCTCTAATAATCTGGAATCTTATTACCTCCATTTAAACCAGGGAGCTCACCTCAAAAGCAATATCACCCATAGCTACACCTAGCCTAAAAAGAGAGCAATCACAAACCTTTTCAAGAATCTAAGAGTTTCTCCCACTAACATAGTCCTCAATGCCTTATTAATGTAGTGCCTTCTGGGCCTTTTAATGGAATATATTTGGGGGTTAGGCATGCAGGTCATACATCGTAAGTCCACTCTAACATTCTTATCTCCCCAAGCTTTGGATCCCCTTTTTCATATTATGCAGAAAACGTCTGGCATCCCAAGATTATTAAACGTAGGTGACCCCTGAGTCTATGTTTCAGTCAACCAACCAAGTAAACTGTGAGAGTCACCTCTAGCTCTCCACGCTAACACATTACATCTGGAATCTCTAGTAAGTGCACCTTTATCAGTGAACTCTGCCTAATCTAGTGTTATATTTTTCCCTCCTTAATCTGACACACTTAAATTCTCTACCCCATACATTTCCAAGGTATGCTGATAATATATTAGCAGAGTCTTTCATTCTTATGGTGTGTAAACAATTTCCTCGGAGGTCATAGTATCTACCTGCCCCCTGGGACATGCTGAGATTTTACCCTAGCTATTTATCTAGTGAACACAGTGAGTGGTTTTGATGGGTCTTGAAAAATATGAGCATTCCTCTTCAAGGCACCTATCCCAGATGGGTTAATCACAAAAACTTTAAGCACAGGAAAGCTAGTTTTCTCAGATACAAGAGGACACACTACTTCTAGTGGCAAAGGAGGCTCAGAGTGACTTGGGGGGTTCAAGACTGTCAGTTTCATCTGGCTCCAAACACACATCTCCATTCTAAATTTCAGTATCTCATTCTTTCCTCAACAGTACCCTAACTTTCACATGACAAACTCTGCAAGATCAAATTTAGCAACCTGCACAAGTGAGATTTTCTTGAGAATCTCAGACTCTTTATACCAGAGCAAGAAAGGAGTAAGTGCTGAAGTAAGTTCCTGAATAAAAGAGGGGCTAGTAACCATAGGTAATATTTAAGTACTTACCATGTGTCAGTCACTGGGCTAAGTGATTGATACACACCATCTGGTGTCACGCACTGCTTACTTCCTTTCATTGCACTCTTGCATGATCCTGCCTCCTGCCTTATCTCTCTGATCGCTCAGTTTGTTCAGAAAGTTTCAGCCACATATATTTCCTCAATCTTTTCATCCTACATGTCACCTCTTCCAAGCTACCAAAGGACACCAGCCTCCCCGCCCCCCGCCTTAGTCTCCACCTTGAGACCGTGCTTTTCTTCTACCATTTGTCACCATATTATTTTATTTATGGTGTTCTTCTTCTCTTGTGTACTGCATGTTTATTATTTAACTTACCATGTTTATTTACTGTGGGCTTATTATTATTACCCCAGGAAACTGTAACCTCCCCTCGGGCTCAGGAAGCATTTGCAGGATTCTCACAGCTCTCTTACGTTAGTCTACCTTGTTTCTGCCTGCTTTTCCAACAGACAGACTTAAGTTTGAAGGGGCCATAGGCACCTACTCCACGTCACTCAGAGCCAACTACAGCCTAAATCTGTGGATCTCCCAGGTGGGGCTGGGGGCCACCTCAGGCGGCCCCATATCGTATGGCGAAGCTCAGCACAGTTCCCTCCCGCCTTCCAATACCAGAGACAGTCTTCCCTCCAAGGAAATGTAGAGCATTATCATTACCGTCACAAAACCGGCGCGTCGCTCACCCACCGCGGGCGCGCGCTGTCTCCTCCCCGCCTGGAACCAGCCACGTCCACGCACAGCCACCGCCCCCGCAGCCCGGCTGCGCTCCCCTGTGCGCAGGCGCACGCCGCTCGCTTCCGCTCGGGGCGGGGCTAGCGCGCGGGGCAGGTCCCGACAGCGGGTGCGGGTGGCCGCGCCCCCCTACCCGTCCGCATGGAGTCGGGGGGTCGCCGCGGCCTGGCCTCGGCGGGGGGGCCGGTCTCGGCGACCCCGATGCTAAGGCAGGATTCGGGGACCGGGGCTGAGGCGCGGGCTCGCGGCCCCGGTGCCGTCGGAGCCCGTCGCTTCCTGCTCTGTCTTTACCTGGTGGGCTTCTTGGTGAGTGCTGGGGCTGGGGGCGCAGGGCGACTACGCCTCGGACCTGGAACCCGATTAGGGGTGGCTTTTTTTCTTTTGAAGCCTGGGTGGTTGTAAGGCTCACTCAGGGCTGGGAACCTGCGATCTGCCTGGTGGTGCCTTCTTGCCTTTCAAGCTTCTTTTTGCCCCCAAACCCCTTCCACTCTGCACCAGGCCACATTGCTTTATTGCCCCTGGCGGGCCCAATCCGCAGCTCCTCTACTCCTGCAGTTTTAAGGCGCCCCCAGCACCAGCCTTTAGTGTGATTAAGCCAGGTTCAGGGGTGACCCCAGGTGTTAGATGCTGTGAAAGGTTCAGAGCACGCAGGGTGGACAGCAGGGCTCCTGGGCAACTTTGGGAAAGCCCAGCTGTTCTGACATCTGTAGGTGTGGTAGGAGTACACAGGCCTTTGTGCCAGGCCCGGTCGGGGAAGTCACTGTTGATGACCCCACTTGGGCAGGCACATTTTCATTAAGGTTCCTGCTAGACTGGAATGTTTAAAAATGCAAACCACGGTGAATTATACACATCTGCCTTTCAACAAACTGTTTATTGGACAAGGCAGGTTTGGTTTTTTCATGATGTGTGTGTGTGTCCTGGTTTAATGAGGACAATTATTATGAATTTCCCACGTAGAATGGAAAGCTTAGAAAGATGAGTGTATGATAGGGGAAGTCATCCATACCTCCATCCATTTATTATTCATAGAATTTCTGAAAACCTTTTATGTGGTCGGGGCTGTAGAGCTCCAGTCCCTGCAATACACAGTCCCTGCCAGGAACAACTTAAAATCTTACCAGAAAACTTGTGTTGGTAGCTCATGGGCCATTGTCTGCAGGAACCCTAGATCCAACACCTCACTCCTCTCCTTCCAAGTCTAGACCTGGTTTAGTTGCCCTGGTTGTGAGCTGGTCCAGGTTAGGAGAGAAAGGACAAGGACATCATAGGATTTCTTCTTTGCTGAGCCTGAGACTGTATTTGAGGACAAAAGGAACTGGTCAGGCTAAGTGTCACTGGGCGAAGACGGCCTTCGGAGGCTTTGAATAGTCCCCAAAGGCACTAGGTCCTGGCAAAGAGGAATTACTGTTTTCTGCCCAGATACAGGTTAAGACCACTACTCCCCAGTATGTTATCCTCACTAGAGTTTGGATACCGAACCATGCTCAGCTAGGAGAGGAGTAGGGAGGCAGCCTCCCTATTCCCCTCCACAATGCAAGGTGTTCATCAGTCTGTAAAGGTTTAATGTTGATTTAATAGTTAAGAGAATGATGAAAGCATTTTCCAAATCGCTGTAAACACTACACCATGAGGCACTCAGAAGGGCTGCGCTTCACACAGAATCTGCCTCCCTTTAACCTACCTATCCTGCCCCCAGGCTCATGCTTTCTGTTCAGAGCCTGGCATTCCTTAATCTTAGATCAGCCTCAGGGTGCAGATACCTCTTCCACCTTTCATTTCAGCCACCCTCAATTCAAAACTATTGATGGTGAGTGCCCCTTGACATTTCGGAAGGGAGTTGGCTGCCATCCACCCTCTGGTCGGAGCTGGGGACTGCCTCTAGGCTATTGCTGCCCTCCCTCAGACAGTACTCATATCTGATCCTGCCAGATGAAAAGAATTTGGGCCCTCACCTGGAAAGTCCAGATTGGGAGATCGGAGAAACCAACATGACCTAAAATTCAAAATAGTTTGAATGTTCTAAATGAATTCACAGATCATACATTATAGTTGGCCTTCCAGTACAGATTTGAATATTCAGAGCTTCTCTGTTGTCTACGCGCTGTTCACACAGTGAGTCTAATTTAGCAAGCCTGATGTAAAATTTTAATAATTTGTTCAAGAGAGTCATTAAGTCTCTAATATGTTCAGGGGAAAATGTAAGATTTCCCAAAAGTTAAAAGAGAGTAGGGATTTTTTTTAATGGAAAATGTTGTAAGCAATTAAAATATGTGCAGCTTTGGATATCCTTGAAGATCTAAAGGCTCTTTGTTAGGTAACATCCAAGGAATATTATACATAACTTAGTTATTACTTTTAATATATTTAGAGATGTAAAGACCTCTAAGACTTTTGGGGAAATGGTTTCAGATTAATAAGAGGAAGGGAACAGGATTAAAGAAGTCATTTGCCAAAGTGTTCTGTTTTTAGTTCTCATCTGGGCTTCCAGGTTTTAATTTGTTTAAGAAGGAAGATGAAGATGGCCCTCTAGGCCACTTTTGGTTAGCATTGTAAGATGGTGCTAAGATCTGTGATTTCAATCCCCTCTTTCCTCCAGATACACAGTGAGATTCGTATTTTATTTCATCAGCTATAGTCAGGTCTCTTATTCATTCTTACTGAGGCAATTTGCTAATCAAGAAATATTTAGGTTCCTACCCTGAAAAAGATCTTGAAACGTGTTAGTGTATTCACCAGTTTTTTTGAGAGATGTAAATGTTCCACGAAAGGTTTAAATGGTCCCCTCTTGCCTGATTTCCTTATAAATGGTTATAAGCACATGACCAGTTGCCACATTCAGAGTGCATTCAAAGCCAGTGGTTTTGAAGAAACTGGATTCACAGGAAGAGAGGAGTTGCCTTTTCTAGTAAAGGGGAAGACAATTTTAGTGCACAACTTCCTGAAAGACAATTTTGGAAATAGATAATACTTTTTAGGCTCACAAAGCGTTAAAATAATATTGATCATCAGTTATGAGTCTGTTTTCTTATTGCCTGCCGTAAATCTCAGCCTACTTAATTATTCCTCTCCCATTCTTTATTTGAATGTTAAATGACAAGTGGTACTGGGAATTTTTTGGAAAAAAAAATATTTTGGACAATTGAGTTTCCTTTTCTGAAAGATTCAGAAAATTCAATAGGTAACTGATGTATTTGGGGTCTTTTAAGTGATATCATACATCAGCAGGCTGATGAAACAAAGCTGACAGCAAAGCCCAAAAGACATTGGCTTAGACCCAAAAGAAATTTTAAGTAGTCTTAAAATCAAAATAATAAACCGTAGTTCTGGTAGTATAAATTTATGAGCTATTTAAGAACACTAGATAGTAAATATATGGCCATCTAAAGATGTAACCATGGAAAAGGGCCACTGAAAAGTGCATTTAGAGGTTCATGTTTCTAAAATTAGGTGAATGCACAGCCACCAGGATAAGGGATAAGCAAAAGATTAATTGTGGGCCCAAAGAAAAAAATATTTTTCGTGCATTTCTTTCTATTTAACCAGGAGTATAAGAAAAGGAATTCCAGTTGAATATAAAGAAAACCGTGTGTGTGCAATGTGGTTTCCTTCCTCTAAACCAGTTGTTGAAAGTATCCAAGTAAAGTAGGAATGAGAACAAAACTTAAAGGAAAAATTAACAGTCTTTCTGTTAACTCAGAATACCTAGCAAAAAAGGTCAGTACTTATCCCCAGGACAGAAGAAAAGAGAAAATATGTTTGAACTGCTGTTGTGTGTTAGACCTTTCTCAACCATTACATCTCTTAATGTACATCATATGTCTACCAGACAGGTGTTATTATCCCCATTTTTTACAGATGACAGCACTGATGCTTGGTGACATTAAATAACTTTCCAAGCACACATGCTTAGTAAGAAACAGAGCTGGAACTTAGAACTGTCTGTCTAACCCCAAATCCCATGCACTTTCATTGACTTAGCTGCAGAACACTGTCTTTCCCCACTACCCCATCCTTCTCTCCTTGCTTTGCTGAGACTTTCTTCAGATACTATTTTTAAGGCTATAAGCCACAGATTAGTCACCTTCCCTAATTCTAGGAGGAAATTCATATATGAAGCAAGTGCAGCTTTGCCAAGAAATATGCATTCTCCCTGCCTCCTTTCCCACTTCATCACACACACAAACTTTTTTTGGTTTTTTGTTTGAATAACTTCTATAGCATATCCTCCTTGAGTATTAAGGATCAATCACAAAGAAGCTAAGGTTGAAATGATTCCGGTTCATGGTGATCAGGCATTTACAGGGAGCAACTGTTATAACACATTGTATTTTGATTCTTTGATAATTTGAACCTGATGGGCATAGCATACTGTAGAATACAATTATGATTTCTTGGTGGCTCAAAATTTAGATACTGGTTTTATTTTTTTAATCAGTTTGTTATTAGGATTACCACTTTAAGAACACCTAAGCGTCAGTTTCTAATTTGAGTTAATCAATGTTTTGTTGTTTAGGATTTGTTTGGTGTCAGCATGGTCGTCCCTTTATTGAGCCTTCATGTCAAGTCTCTTGGAGCAAGTCCAACAGTTGCTGGAATAGTAGGTGAGTGGTTAATATCGTACATTTTCAGAGCACTGAATTTTCAATCCTCTGGACTAAACCTAAAAACAAATCAGTCTTATAGCTAAATATTATCCAAAGGTAAATTGAAAGTGGGATAAAAGGAATTTTTAGAATACTTAAAAATACTTAAAAATGTTACCCTGTGGGCACCTGGGTGGCTCAGTCGTAAAGCGTCTGCCTTCGGCTCATGTCATGATCCCAGGGTCCTGGGATCGAGCCCCACTTCGGGATCCCTGCTCGGCAGGAAGCCTGCTTCTCCCTCTCCCACTCCCCCTGCTTGTGTTCCCTCTCTCGCTGTGTCTCTCTCTGTCAAATAAATAAATAGAATCTTAAAAAAAAAAAAAAAATGTTACCCTGGAGGGAATGTAATTCATCTTTTCCTAGACTACCTGTGGTCAGAGAGGTTTTGAGGTTTAGCCTCATTCCCTTCCCCTCACCACCAGTGACATCACAGGTACTTACTGAGCCTCTCCAAGGAGCTGGCTGCATGTGTTAAAGGGTAGGTACAGACCCCTGCCTGCAGGAACCAGAGAAACATAATCTACAGGAATCAAGTCATGCAGCAAGGGATTTAGGGTGAGCCTTGACAAATTGGTCACAAGCTTCCTGCACCACCACAAGCATATCTTAGGGAGTTGTAGGCTTTCTCTACCTGTGCAGCATAGAACCTCCATCTCAAAGTCACTGATTTACCAAAGAGACAAGATATAGCAGGGCTTAGGACTGTGCTAATTAACAAGAAATTGTTGAAAGACTAATAGCCTTTGACTATTCACAAGCTGGATAAGCAAATGTTCTGGGACAGTGGTGGACACAATATTTGGTAAGTCCTCCATGCCATGATTTGTATTTCCCTTGGAAAGTAGAATTATACTGGCCCACACAGAAGCATTAAGGTTTCTGTGAAGAGCAGAAGGGACATGTTATTTGATATAATGGAGGTAAAAGCACTCTGTAAAACTTGGTCAGTTCTTTATAAAACTAAAGCATTTTATAAAACTGGAATGTTAGAGGGATATAAGATGATACAAAAGTTTTCAGACTGAGTAGAATTTTTGTAGGATTTGGATTTCTACTCCCCGAGTACTCTCTATTTGGTCTTCTCAGTCAGGGGTACGCATCCTCAAGAGCGGGAGAAGCCTCTCTCAGAGACCCTTTGGCCTTAGGCGGCCCTTGCCTTAGTCTCTCTTCTGCTTCCTTCATTTTTATTTTGAAGGTTTTTCTTTTTTTTTTGCTTTATTTATTTATTTGAGAGAGAGGAGAGAGAGCACAAGCAGGGGGAGTGGCAGGCAGAGGGAGAAGCAGGCTCCCCGCTGAGCAGGGAGCCCGATGCCGGGCTTGATCCCAGGACTCTGAGATCTTGACCTCAGCCAAAGGCAGACGCTTAACCGACTGAGCCACCCAGGCACCCCTGAAGGTCTTTTAATAAAAATTGTATTGCTTTACCCTTCCAATTGAAAAAAAAGGGGGGGGGGATCTCCTTTTTAAAAATAGTCTTTTTTTCCCCCTGTTTTTCTGTTAATTTCTGTGTAATTGTTACCATGTTGATCCATTTTTGTGATGGGTCCAGCTGATTTTCTTGATGTTACTGATGTTTTTTGTAGGCTCCTCCTATGGCATTTTGCAGCTCTTTTCCAGCACACTGGTGGTAAGTTGTCTCTCATCTGGCAAACATCTTGGTCACATTTGGGGGGCATTTCCATGGTGGTGGTGGTTAAAGGTGGTAAGTCAGAGGACTTTCTGTATTCCTTGCTTTCCTCAGGGCTGCTGGAGTGACGTGGTTGGAAAACGGTCTTCCTTGCTGGTGTGCATTCTGTTCAGCGCCCTGGGTTATCTGATTCTTGGAGCATCCACCAGTGTGTTCCTGTTTGCCCTTGCTAGAGTCCCTGTAGGTAAGTTTCTTTCCTTGGGTGCGTTTCATTCCAAATAAATCAGTTGTATGTAAGTGTATAAAGAGAGACTGTCGTACACGTCAGTGCCTTCTTTTTTTATTTTTTTTAAGATTTTATTGATTTTAGAGAGAGAGAGAGCCTGTGTGAGCAGGGGGAGGAGCAGAGGGAGAAGGAGATAATTTCCAGCAGACTCCGTGCTGAGCACAGAGCCCCACGCAGGGCTCAGTCCCAGGGCCCTGAGATCATGACCTGAGCTGAAACCAAGAGTCGGACACTTAACCGACTGAGCTGCCCAGGCGCCCCTGTCGGTGCCTTCTTGACTAGAGCTTTTGCCAAAAGAAAATAATGACAAGCGCAATTATAACCGGAACACCAGCCGCTGCTGTTGATCGAGTACTTGGTATCAGTCAGGCTCTGCTCACTTGTGCAGAGCCACAAAGCCTGTACATGACAGGGCCCGGAGCCCTCCCTGTCAGTGTGAATCATTATGCTGCTGCACAGACCTGTCTCCTTCCCATCCATCTCTCTACGTTCAGGCAGGAAGAATTTGTTAAATGTCTTTGGCCAGCACTGTGCTTCCTATTCTCTCGCTTGGCCAGCTTATAGTTTTAAAATTGGGCCTCCTGACTTCAAATTGAGATTTCCCACTGTAGCTTTCCTGCAGCCTCCTGTAAATCTGGCTGTTGGTCGGGGGAGATACTAGGATGATGACGAGTTTCTCTTTCCAAACTGATCTTGAATGTTTCTGACATTTTCGAAATAGCTTCTATTTTGTCCATTCACCGAAACGTTTTGTCCATTCTTTGAGCTGCCACTTGTGAATGCTGTCCTCGTGTGGCAGGTAGGCAGCTCCTGTGGAAGCTCTTTATTCTCTTTGCCTTTCTTAGTTGCTAGAGCCCTGGAGTTTCAGTGTTTCTTTCTCCCCTGACAGACTCTGCTGCCCTGGTGGATAAGTTTGCAGCACTGGACCTCTGCCCATATTCAGTTAAGCTGCTCCTTTTTACCTAATGCCCCAAAGGAACAGAGCATAAAATAAGTCCTTCTAACATATAGTTGATGATCAGCTTATTTGGGATTTTCATACCCATTTCTGTGACATACATACTTACTCTCCAAGTCTTTTGAGTTCACCCTCCAAAATTCATGCTGTGCCTTTCTGTTGATTCAAAAAACAAAAAATGCTTATGAAGGTCTTTGCTTTAAATATGAGCAGTCATCCTAACTTGCCTCTACCACATAAAATCCAACCAATGGCTGCTCTGTGTGCATCCGGAGTCAAAGTTATTGTACGTGCTTGGTTTGGGTTGCAATGTGTAAATATAATACACTCCACCATTCAGCAATAAGGCTGTTCATAATTCTAAAGAAATATATGAGATTAATGGACCCTGTATACAATAGGTAGAAATTTATAGAAAAGATTAAAATGTTTTTATTTAATATGAAATGAGCCTGCTTTGAGTAATGATAGTTCTATTAATATACATCATACTCTTGACCAACAGGAGAGCTATACATAAAATTCTTTCCTGCTATGGGAACCTCTACAGTGTTTAATTGGCCTGGGAATATGAGGGAGCCCTGGGGAGCCTTGCCAGCGTTGTGCTGTACAATGTCACGTGTAGGTTCAGGTCCTTGTATCCTGAAGATGAGCCTGAGGGAGGTTGAAGTACCAGAAGTAGACACGCGGTTTTCCCCTCCGCTCTCTGTCCCCTAGCCCAACCTCTAGAAGGTAATAGGAAGCTAGTCTGCGTTACCCTCACCACAGTCCTCCTTCCCTGGGTATGTGAGGTGAACCCAACATCGGTATCATTTCAGAAATAATCACAGGATTCCTATCAGGCCTCTTAGGAATCATCTTCCAGCCCAGTTCTTTCTCCCATTTAAGGAAATAGATCTAGAGTCTCTCTACCTAATTCCAAAAGAGATTTCTAAGTTTGCTTCCCAAAGAGGCTGTTTATCAGGCAAATGCCCGCTCTAATATTTAGACACAGCTGGGTACAGAACCCAGGATCAGTGTGCAGGCAGAGTGATGTACAGTGATACTTCTTTCAAGGAAATCCCTGGAAACCATTGTGTTACATCACAGGAGCACTTCAGGCCAACCCAACAGGAACACTGACTGAGTTCCTGCCATGTATTGATCAACATGGTGGGCAACCTATGTTACCAGAACCTAATCAGTCTGTTTATTCAGCATATGGATGGATGGGTGCAGACAAGACAAATACATCAGCAGAAGTATGAGGAATATACAGCTGCTATATACATTTTAATCTCTTATTAAGTCATGCCCCACCTTTCAGTTTGTTTAGTCAACCAATTCACAAACCTCTTGCTAGTAGAAAATCAGTTGGTAGTGTTTAGATGACTATGTCATCATATTTTTATATTTTTACTCATTCCCTGTCCTTCCCTCCTCTGTTCCTCTCTAGCAGTTATCACCTTTATACACACACACACACACACACACACACACACATACACACACACAGGCTCTGTGAAGATAGATACATTTGTGTCTTTTTTGTGCTCTGTTCCTTGCATTATCCTCAGGGTCAGGGTCAAAGTTAATGCTGGACATATAGTAGGCATGCAGTGAATGTTTACTCACTGAGTGAATGAATAAAGAATGACACATCTCGGGACACCTGGGTGGCTTAGTTGGTTAAGCATCTGCCTTCGGCTCAGGTCATGATCTCAGGGTCCTGAGATCGAGCCCCCACGTCGGGTTCCCTGCTCAGTGGGGAGTCTGCTTCTCCCTCTCCCTCTGCTCCACCCCCTGCTTGTGTCTCGCTCTCTCTGACAAATAAATAAAATCTTTAAAAAAAAAAAATGACACATCTCTGTAGAGAAGCCACCATGAATTGCACTTGGCTAACAGAGAAAACTGGAGATACTGGGATGTCAGGGTGGAAGGTGGGAAAGCAGAGGATCCAGGGCTTGGCTACCAGGAATAAGGTGGCCAACTAGGACTGTGGGCTAGATCAGGAGTCCAGTCATGGTGGGATGAAACTGCAGACCTTAGAGATTCAAAGAGAATGGAGACCAGAACTCCATCAGTGATAGAGATGAAATGCAAGATCACATGCAAGATTTTTTTGGTCTGAAAAATGTTACAGAGCATGTTTCTTATCCCCTTGCAGGTATTTTTAAACATACCCTCTCCATTTCAAGGGCTCTGCTTTCTGATCTGGTTGCAGAGAAAGAACGGCCCCTAGTAATTGGACAATTCAACGCAGCATCTAGTGTGGGCTTCATCTTGGGCCCCATGGTTGGTGGATATCTTACTGAGCTAGATGGTGGATTTTATCTGACAGCCTTCATCTGTTTTTCTGTCTTCATTCTCAATGCTGGTAAGTTGACATTTCATCATAAGAAGACTGGTGTATGCATTCATACTGACCAATCTACCTGCTTTACTTTTATCTCCTTAACACTTTGTTGTTCTTAAAACAGGCAGGCTTTTTGTTGTTGTTGTTTCACTATTGTTGACATACAGTGCTATATTAGTTTCGGGTGTGCAATAGAGTGATTCAGCAATTCTGTACATCACTCAGGGCTCATCCTGATAAGTGTACTCTTAATCCCCTTCACCTCAGAATAGCAGACTTATTTTTCAAAGTTGGACCACCTCATCCCCTGCTGCAGACCGCCTGCCCGTGTCGTCCTATCATGCTAAAGCATGGATGTGTCTCACACAGCATGGTCGTGTGCAGGCCCTGGCCTGCGCCCTCCCCCAGCTCTCTCTCTCCTTCCATGTGCACCAGCCACACCGGCTTCCTGGTCAGGCTCACACACGCCAGGCTCATTCCCACAGGAGGGCACTGCAGTTTGCTCTTTCCTCCACCAACAACATTCTTCCCACATATCTTTACTGGGTCTTTCTTATTCAGGTGTCAAATATTTACTTCCTTGGAAAGCCCTTTCCCGATGACTGTTTCAAATAATTCAGGTTTCTTCATAGCACTTCTGAAATTATATTATCAATTTGTTTTCATGCTTATATTCTCTCCTCCCTACCTCCCCACAAATACCATTAGAAACTAAATGCCACAGGGTAGAGATTTTCTCGCTGTTGTCACTCCTGCCCACACCTGGCCAGGCATAAAGCCAATGTTCAATAACATTTGATGAATAAAAGAACACTTACTGGACTATGAGCTCCTTGGATGCAGGGCCAGTTGCCTAAAGCAAAGAGGATAAACCTCTTTGCCCAGAGACTGGTACTTCCTGAGCCTTAGATAAACAGCTTCATAAACAAGAGGATTGGTTCATGTTACTCAGTTTTCCTTAAGTTTAATGATAGTCTACTCTACTGCATCTTTTTTAGTCTTTGTATTCAAGGCTCCAGGTTGAGTGGTGGATTCCATGTTGAGCTAGGATATCACACTCAGAAAACAGAGTTCAGGAGTTCAATGTCAATCCTCATAGGTATATTTTGTGATTTCCTGCCAGAAGTTTAACCTGTAACCTCGGCCAGGAGGTGAGGTCTGACGGATTAGTGTAAATCTAGATAAAATACTTGAGCACATGACCGGCTGGTGTGGCCAGGTACCTTCCCCTACGAAGGAATGTGATGAATGTGATGGCTCCCAAAGTCAGAAGTCAGTGTATGAACGAAGGCCATGATTATGGAGTTCTGTTTTGGATTCTCCAGCAATGATGCTGTTTAATATCATGCCCTAACCTAAGCCTGTGAATGGATCCGAGTCAGGCAGGGATAGTTCAGCCACAAGTGTTCTCAACCACAATGGCTAAAAATAGTAATAGGGATTTCTTGTGCATTCTTAAGAAACATGGAGGTCAGTAGGCCAAGCTGATGCAGGGAATAGCAGAGGAGAGCGAGGGGGGCAGGCCAGCAGACCATGTCTCACACTGGGCTTTGCCTTCCAGCACAGTGAACACAGCGTACTGCGTTTTTTTCCCTCAGTGACCTCGGCTGTTTTCCTCAACTCCTTTTACCCCTTCAGCTTCTCATATCCTCATTCTGATCGGCCACTTTGCCTGAGAAAGGCCTCTTATGTCTTTCTTTCCGTGATTTCTGTTTTCATGGTTAAGAACTCAGACTCTGGAGTCTGACAGACTTGGATTCAGGTTCCTACTGTGCCACTTTTTAGTGTGGGCCTTGGGCGAGTTGCCTCAGTTCACTCATCCCTAAAATGGGGTAACAACACTCCCGGTCTTACTAAGACGAGCACCGGAGGTCTTGCACACGAGCGGTTCACCCCACTGCATCAAGTATGCTAAGCATACTCAGTAAACATCAGTTGCTGTCATCATTATCATTTTTATTATTTTAATTATACTCTTCCTCTCAGTCTACCAGCGATAGTCCTTTCATAGTTTTATCAAGATTCTATAAAATGCCCAAGGGGCATTTTAAAGGTAAGAACGGATAAAAAGTCCAGGCCTGCATTCTTGCGTGGTAGAGTTTTCTGTCATAAATTAGTCCCTGGCGAATAGTCCACCTAGACTGTGGAGAAACCACATACACAGATGTGGTTGCTGAAAACAGCATGAAGCAGTCTGAATGGCCACTGGTCCGGGTTGAATTGAAGTGTGGAAGGACTGAAAACCCCACAGGATGAGTTTGGAAAAGATGTCCTAGTATGGCAAGAAATTTGGGGGCATGGATTGGCAATAGGTCATTCTACTTGGATGGCGTGGGATACATAAAATGACCGAGGTGGGAATGAGCCAGTCACAAGGGTGGAGGTGGGATTATCTGAATAGGAATTGAGCCACTCCATAATGGTCCATGAGAATGGTACCCCCCAAGATTTTGAGGTGTGACTTGTAAAAGCACATGGTGGCCCTGAAGTGGGGGCAGATCCAAGCAGGTGCTTCCTGACAGGTCATTGGTTATCAAGCTGCCCTTCCTCCCTCCACAAACCAAGGCTGGCTGTCTCTGTTCATAGCATCCTGTGCTTCCCCTAACATAGCACTTATCCTGTAATTTAACTGCTAGGTTTTACTTGTCCAAACCCCCTTTTAGACTTAAATTCCTCGAGGCCAGGGATTTTATAGGCCTTGTGTTGTCAAGTTAATATATTCCTACTTTTTAGCACAGGACTTAGCATTTAGGAAGCATAAATATTCAGTGTTTAGATGAAGTATGGGTGGTGAATGGATGAGTGGGTGGATGGACGGGTGGGCAAGATGGTGGATAGGCACGGAATTAGAAAGGTAATGAATTTAAACATAGGCATGAGAATTTCAATATCACATGATATAGGAAACGGTCATGGGCTCTTGAGCTTTAGGAAAAAGTGAACATCTTGTAGGTATAGATCTTTTTGAGGTGACTAGCGGAACTCTGCTATCAAAATGGAGTAGAAGTAGCTGTGGGAATAGTTAAAAACTGGATTCAAAACCACGGATTAGTAAATGGCCCAAATACAAAACTACAGAATGGTGATCTCCCACACGTGCTTGCTCCTCCCCCGCGGGGCACCGTGGGAGCCGGGGCATGCAGCCTGCTTTGACAGGTCCTGTGCCACCCTAACAGGTCTGGTTTGGCTGTTTCCCTGGTGTGAAGCGAAGCTCTCCGGTGCAGAGAAGGGCCTGCCAGCGAGGAAGGACTCTGCACCCTGGGGGAGGACGGACGGGCACGGGCAGGGAGCAGCCACCCCCCGCCAGCGCACGGCCAGCGCCAGGCCTGCCAGGCCGCCGTGGCTGGAGGTCGCATCCACGCTGCGCGACATGAAGAGCCTCGTATTTTCCGAGATGTGGGACCTCTTCGCGGTGCGCTTGCTGATGGCCGTGGCGGTCATGCTGTACTACAGTAACTTTGTGCTGGCCCTGGAGGAGCGCTTCGGGGTGCGGCCGCGGGCGGCGGGCTACCTCATCAGCTACAGCGGCGCGCTGGGCGCCCTGGCCGGCCTGGCGCTGCGGCCCCTGCTGCGGCTGTACCGGCACGACGGCCGCGCCATCCTGATGCACTCGAGCGCGCTCACCTGCCTGCTGCTGGGGCTGCACGCCGCCGCCCGCTCCGTGGCCGTGGCCGTGCTCTGCTCCTCGCTGCTGGCCGTGTCCACCGCCGTGGGCAGGACCTGCATCACCGACCTGCAGCTGGCGGCGGGCGGGGCGCGGGCCAGCGGCGCGGTCATCGGCGTGGGGCAGTCGGTGACGGCCGTGGGCCGGATCATCGCCCCGCTCCTGTCGGGGCTCGCGCAGGAGGTGAGCCCGTGCGGGCCCCCCAGCCTGGGGGCTGTGCTGGCCCTCGTGGCGATTTTCCTCATGTCCCTCAACAGAGCCCGCTATGGCGGCGGCGGCGGCGGTGGTGGCGGTGGTGGGAGTGACCGATTAAAACGTGCGTAGCGTGGAACTGGATGGAGGATACCAACTCTGAGGCCGGGAAGGGTGGTTTCCCAGCGGGTGTGCTTCGGGGGCAGACGCCCAGGGCTGAGCAGAAGTCAGAGCCTTGTCAAAGGGGAAGGTATTATTAAACCGTATGTACAAGTCTCGTCTTCGAACCGGCCAGTGGGGTTAAAGCTTTCCAGGGGGGATCCCTACCAGCTTCAGGACAGGAAGAGGGTGGTGGGATTACAGAAGGTGATGTGCTCCCCTGCTAAGTAAAAAATAGGGTAAGCCATTAATAACATGACCGGCTGGGTTCATGTCACCTTGGATAAGTAAGCTGAGAGGGGGGTTTTCTGCTATCAGAATCCTAGAGATTAAATAAGCTACTTTATTGAAATTAGCCTGTCCCTTCCTCAAGTTATAACAAGGTTCCACCTGGGAAGCTGCGGGAAAATCACATGGCTGGCCTCACCCCCAGACATTGATTCTGCGGGCCCTGGGGAGGCCCAGAAACCTGTCCTTAATAAGCAATACTGCACTTTCTCATGGAGGCAGAAAAAGGGTCGTTTGGAGACATACTGGTTTTGAGTCAAGTCAAAGCCAGAGACTTGGTTGTGTTTATTGATAGCTAACTCAGTTTGAACTATTAAGATTATGTGATCCCAGTGTGTTACCTTCTCCCCAGCTCTTGGCAGTCATGCTCCATAGTAGGAGAAACAGGTTCATGGAGCCTGTCCCTTGTGTCCACTGCCTTGGAGGTCCCATGCTCTGCAGAGAGCTGAGGTTGTCCGTCTGGCTAGTTCTCCCTGGATATCAGGCATGAACTGCTTCCAGAAGCCGATGCTCTGTTGGGCTGCATCGATTGGATGATGGTAGAGCCCAGTGGAAAAGACAAAGCACAGGAATGCCTTTAAGATGAACGTCTCGTGCAGTGTAGGAGAGTCTGGTGTCATGACTCATCAGACGGACTTAACTCTACGGCGTCTTATGTTGAAAGTCATTTCTTTTCTCTCATTTTAATATCCTACCTGAGAATGAAAGAGCTACACTGATCTACAGGGAAAATGCCTTTTCCTAGGCCTAGGCTAAACGGTCATTCCCAGGGTCCAGCTGAGAGGCTCAGAGTGAGGGTTAGCAAACTCAAAGGGAAGCATCTGTGTGGTTCTTGCTACTTGGATGATGTCACCTATTAATAATTATATTGGAGCTCCCCCCTCTTCTCCCCATGCAAACTACCGAAGTTCACATTCCTTTCATTCTTTTTGATTGGTCCACTAGGAAATTATTCGTTCTCAACCTAACACATGTATAATTATAAATGTATTGTATGTAAAGCAGAAAAAAAAAATGTTTCTCTAGTTTTTGAAGTTGTGTATGGGGTAAACTCAAATATTTATGATAAAGAATTAATGGGATGTTTGAAGATTGTCCTTTCTCCTATCCAGCTACAAGGAAAATATTAACTTTTTATTAAGTGTTGTAATTGTGAACTTTTATACAAGCGCTAAGCGCTTTTGAGGAAAGCAAAATATAATATAAAACGGCATGGCCCATAAGGAGCACACCAAATCGTCATAGAGGTTATACTCAAAGGACAAGAAGTAATCAAGGGTTTATGCAATGAAGTAGAATTTCTCCAAAGATTATCTTTTCTGTGAACTCAGAAACAGCCAAGTTTCTTAGACATTCTTTAATGTAGTCATTATTAAATTTTTGAAATCCTAGCACTTTATTTTTGAAGTTAAATAAAGCCTATAAATTTATTAAGGCTTTACAGTTAATCAGATACATGGAAATACTGAAAACCAGGGTTGATCTTCATATAGAGAGTAGAGAAACATTTTTGTTATTCTCCACACTCATGTGGGTTTTTTAAAGATAAATATTATACAGGCATACCTCATTCTATGGCACTTCATTTTATTGTGCATCACAGATACTGCGTTTTTTTACCAATTGAAGGTTCGTGGCAACCGTGTGTTGAGTTTATCAGCACCATTTTTCCACCAGCATTTGCTCACTTTGGGTCTGTCACATTTTGGTAATTCTCACAGTATTTCAAACTTTTTCATTATATTTGGTATGGTGATGTGTGATCAGTGATCTTTGATGTTACTGTTGTAATTGTTTTGGGGTGCCATGAACCGTGCCCATATAAGGGGGTGAATTTAATCGATAAATGTACGTGTTCCAACGGCTTCACCACCTGGCTCGTCACCTGTCTTTTGCCCTCTCCTCGGGCCTCCCTATTTCTTGAGTCGCAACAATATTGAATATTGAAATCAGGCCAATTAACAACCCTAAGGTGGCCTTAAGGTGAAAGGAAGTGTCAGCCGATGTGGCAAACTTCCTCGCTGTCTTACTTTAAAAAATTGCCACAGGCCATCCCAGCCTTCAGCAACCACCACCCTGCTCAAGATTGAGAAAAGACCCCCCACCAGCACAAAGATTGCCACTTGCTGAAAACTCAGATGATGGTTGGCATTTTTTAGCAATGAAGTCTTTTTAATTAAGGTATGTACATTGTTTTTTAGACATAATGCTACTGTAAATTTAATAGGCTACAGTATAGTATAAACATAATTTTTTTTTTAAAGATTTTATTTATTTTTTTGACAGAGAGAGACACAGCGAGAGAGGGAACACAAACGGGGAGTGGGAGAGGGAGAAGCAGGCTTCCTGCAGAGCAGGGAGCCCGATGCAGGGCTCGATCCCAGGACCCTGGGATCATGACCTGAGCCGAAGGCAGACGCTTAACCAACTGAGCCACTTAGGTGCCCCTAAACATAATTTTTTATGTACGCTGGGAAACCAAAAAATTCATTTGACTCACTTTATTACAATATGTACTTTATTGTGGTGGTCAGGAACCAAGCCCACAATATCTCTGATGTGTGCCTGTAGTTCCTCTTAAAAAGTCTGATGTGTGAATATTCAGAAATGTGTTCCAGAACCAGCAGCATCCACATTCCCCTGGAGCTTATTAAACATGCAGACACTTACACCCCAGCCCGGACCTGCTGGGAACCATTCTCACAAGATTCCCACCTGCTCTGTGTGCACAGTAAATTTTGAAAACCACTGGTCTGTAGACAGTATTTATATAATTTATGGAATATGATCTCAGGGAAATTAAATCTGCTCAACTAAAGTTTGTGTTGTTTTGTTTTTGAGTTCTTGAGCAACTTCTGTAATAATTTCCCAAGTATTTAGGTTGAGCCACACAAAATTGCTGTTTTTCTAAGTCAATTACCTGCAGTTTCACATGGTTCAACTTAATGGTATATGGAATCTTATTTTAGGGGCATTGAACTTGCCCGAGAAGTTTATAAAGGATATGGCACCCTCCTGGCATTATGCCAGCCCCAACTGCTAAGTTCTGTGAATCAGCCTCAGGGTTTTGGGTTCTAGAAGACTCTGGCCTTCTCCACGGAGGGAAGGTATACCTCTCTGCCCTCATGTCCAGAGAGATGAGCAGAAATCAGAAAGGGAGTGGGGCATGCCTAGCCAGGGCAGTAACATGGGCAAGGCTCCAAAGCCCAGGCGTGTGGGTCAAGAGAGATGCCTGCAGCAGACAGAAGGGGGGAGAACCAGTGGTTCTGGCTGCATAGTAGCATCACCTGATGCCCTAGACCTCTAGAACCAGACTCCAGAGTGCCCCAGAGTTGAGAGTCCCTGGGTTGGATCATGAAGGGGCTCATGTACCATGCTCAGGACTGAGCTTCTATTCTCACAGGTGTGGAGGGAAGCCACTGAAGAATGCATGCTGGAGAATGCTCTGTGGACTTCCCATTAAAGATTCCTCGAGGGCAGTCATCCAAGAGGAATGGGAGGGAGAAGTCATGTGCTCTGAGGGAATCAGGTGGGGCACAAAATCTGAAAGGCCTGGGGACTGTCAGCTTGTGACCTCCGGGGAGACACTGGACAGGCTGTGGGTGACGCCCAGGTGTCTGGTCCAGGCAGAGCTCAGGCAAGGTGAGCTGGTAATGAGTGTTAAGGCCTTCTTCCCCGTTCTGTTAGCTGGCAGAGAACATGTGTGGGCATTTATGAGAGTTCGTTTTCTGCATGTTGTGAATATTAAGAAGATATCTTTTCCCAAGGACACTTCTATAAGAAATGTAGACACCTGTGGGGGCGGGGGAGTCAAGCCACTTAGGAGAAATTGCAGGCTTTTGGGCACCTGCTATAAGAGGATAGCTTTTTATTTGGAATGTATAGTAAAAGCCAGCATGGTGATTCCCCGTGCCCTCTATCCCCAGGAAACCTTAGCCTCTCAGAAGTTTCTGAAGTAAGATTCCCACAGATCTAGCCAGGATGATGTATAAGGCAGCTCTTCTCAGAACAGGGTGATGGACTGAAAAAATTGTTTTTCTGTCCTAAAATTTTATTTTTCCCGAAGAACTTGCCAGTTACATGGTAATAATTTTCTTTAATAATACAATCCCTTTAAAAATTGTAGCAAAGTGTTATCATTTATTCTGATTGTAATTTTTAGGAGCTATTGCTGTATCCTGATTGTATATGTTAAGTCAGGGCCCAGAATCTCTTGAAAATGTTAACCTCCAGTTATGCTAAAACATGTCCTAAGAGTAAGAACAAGCTTAACTGTTTTCAAACCATATGCTAATACCAAATGTATACATAATCTGAAATTTATTGCACATCTTTGGCAAGCAAATCGTTTTAAGATGACATCTCATCAGTAGGATTTATTTTTTACTTAATCAGTACACAAATACTAACTTATTTTAACACAATATTTTACTTTAGATTTCTCATTTTTCCCAAACAGATCATCTAAACTCACCACTTTACAGACAGCTGTGTGCGAAGACAATACAGACAATTTCTGTTTTCCTGATTTAGTACATTGTAAGAAATAATGCTGATTTTAATCTGGAATTGGATAGTCTCAAACAGCTTGCGCTGTTCCTCGAGGGGAAAAGATAATTATAAACATTAAGGAAGGAGGTGTTAATTATTACCCATAATTATATAGCATAAACTATAGCATAAAAGTGGACTAAGGACGTTGTTAGAATAAAAAATTGTATTTTGATCAGCCTTGATTTAAACTATACTGATAAATAAAAAGCCTTTTTTCCAAAGCATACACTGTGGAGGGAAAAATAGTTGAAATACCTGTTAATAGTTGCCATTTACAACATTGAATAGGAGATGACCCTTTTTTAGGCTTATCAAAGAATCTCTTCCATTTTGAATCACTGGGACTCAGGTGCTTACCCAGACTGAGAATTTTTTTTTTCGTGTGATAGCTTACCCACTTAAACCTATCCTGAGTTTGCCTAAAGAAACTGAAACCACCTGAACTATCCAGAATGAGCCTGATGTAATAAATGCATTTGCTGCTATGGGGCCTGGCCCTTGGATCTGAGTGCACGTGAATAGGTGCATGCTCCGGGCTTACCTTGGTCTGTGCTGTGGGCTCAAACATAGGCCCGGGAATCATAAGCCAATTTCTGCCAGTACCAGGTGGTCATGACCCAGAAAAGGGTGAGCATTTTCTCCTGGTCACCTTCAGAGCATCTTCACTGTGCCATCTTTTTGGAATGAACAAAATGATAAAGTATGTCAAGTTGTAACACCTTCAAACTAACTTTCCAGCTAAAGGTAAAGACTTGAACTGGATGCCCAACAGTCAGAGGTACATAATTATGATAGCAAATACAGTAAACGGTGTTAAGCAGGTGCCAAAAACTATGTTAGTGAAAACCTAAAAATTTGATATGTTGGTCCAGAACCCTGCATAATCTTTACAAACCATTTGGTAAGACAGTGGATGGCATCCACCTAATTTGTCTTGCTTGAGTTGGCTTGGGAAGGCAGCATTTAATATTCCAGAGCATGCATGATCTTTGAACCCTTTACAAGGGTCTGTTTACATAGAGAAAATTAATGAACCAGTTATAATCTTCATTACGTTGCTTTAACACAGTTAACAATGTTAGCCCTGTTTGAGATATTATGTGTATTTGAAACTAAAGCAACTGAAATTTGTAATACTCTTAAATTCTTACCTTTCACAAATTCCAGCTATCATGACCTCATTTTAGCACACATGAGAATGGTTTTGATATATAAATGTAAAAATCGGAATTGGGGGGCTGTACTAGTTTCTTGTGATGCATTATTTTCTCCATAGTGATTAATTTATATTTATTCCATTAAATGTTTCCACTCCATACTGATTTAACACTTAGACTTTTGTACATTTCACAGAAACCAAGAAAAATGCCTTGTTGGTATACATACATAAAATTTCTGTTTGGCAAGCGGAGTTACCAAACCCTGGATGCAGAGAGCCCTCATTTAAATTATAAATTTTGTTACTACGTGTAGTGATGACATAACAGGATCCCCTGACATAACAGGGGAGAAAAACATTTGCATGTTTAATTCAGAGCATTTTGTTACAGTAGTGAAAATGAGAAAAGTCACCGCCGAGGTGTCTGGCATTGTATCTACTGGGCATCTCATTTCTCCATACCACACAATGCAAGGATAACAGATCCCCATGAGACCTCTGTGACCTAAAACCCCTGAAGTCGGTTCTCAGACATTCAAAGTCATCAGTATGCCGTGCAAATTGAAAATTCGATAATCCATTGACAGCAGATGTATTAACTCTACACAAAGAAACTCCTATTTCTCTGACCAGACAGGTAAGAGAACTGACCACAATTTCTCGACGGTCTTCTTAGAGGTAGTAAAATAGAATTTTCTTTGAAAAAAATTGTAGAAAGAAGACAGAAGGGATCCAAAAGCTATGTACCATCGCAACATTAAAGAAGACGTTCAAAACTAACCATGTGGGTGCTTCGTCCGCACATCTGCAGGGGGTGACCACGTTTGAGGGGGTCAGCCACGTGTGGAGTGAATGACATGGGAAAAAAATCCGAAGGGAGGAGACCCTTCTCTTGAACAAAGAGCTGTGCTCACAGCCAGGCAGCAGTTACCCAGATGGGGCTCTCTCTGCCTTACACGCAGATGGAAGAAAGGGCCTGGTTAAGATGTCAGATACAAAGTACCAGCAAGCCACACGTTTTGCTCTAAAAGTTAGACACACACACACACGCACACGTACAAGATCTCAGATCGTCAGACAGCTGAGTCCTGAGCGTTTCTCGCTCATCCTAACAAAGGGAATCAACATACAACGTTCAGGCTCGGGCAGATAATGCCAATACCTACTTCAACCAGACAAAGAAGTCTCTTTAATCACTCTTCAGAGAAGAAAGTCAGGCGTGAACTTTGAACTAACAAAATATTACAGTTCTCACACTTGTTTATAAAATGCCAGTTTTAACATAAACATGATTTGGGCAGCGCGACAAATGGAAAACACACTGAGACACGTAATAAATAACTTCTCTATGCTCTTTATATAAATAAACACTCCCCTCCCCCACTACAAAGCTTAGTAAAAGGCAAAGGGAATTTCATCCCAGATATTCTGGGGGGTTTATACACAAAACGCACATGTTTTTAAAAGTTTCGAACTCTGGAGCCAGTTTCTAGTTGTTTACTAACTGGCCTGTTCCCAACAGTCAGCCCTTAGCATTACAGGTAAAGAAATAAGCCTAGACTGTGCACTTACAGGTAGTTCAAGTCAGATTTGTTGCAACAAATACCAAAGACCCATCAGAATTCGATTGTTCCACTGGAACTTTGGTTGGATCAAGTATTGCTTGAATTAGGGGAGTCATTTACAAAGGGTTGGAGATGTATCTGTAGTGCAGAAAATTTAGACTTTTGATATTTACAGGCTTTCATATTCTCTCCTATAGTGTCTAGAACTTAATTTTATTTGAAGAAAAGAAAGTATAGAAAAAAAGCAAAATGAAGTCAAATTTATTTTTCATTGCTTTTGTCATTGAACAAGTAAGAAAAAATTAAACTGGTAAGATGACACATGTGCTTTTTTTTTTTTTAATTTACACAATGTCAACCAAATTCTTTATAGACTTTTAATCAGTGCAAGCTGAATTTGGTCTACCTGCTGAACGAGAAGAAATTTAATAAAAACTTTCATGTTTTCTCCTTTGGTTCCAGAAAATTAGACTCGTTATAATATTTATTATTCTAGGACACCAGGAAAAATCAGGAAATTTATGTTTAAGGTCATTTTCCACTTTAACCTTTCTTTTCAGAAAGGTAACCTTTCTTTTCATTAAGTTCTAAAAATTTACTCCTGGCATTCTCAAAAATATACATCCCATCTCTTGATGAATCACATTCCTATAATAAAATTCTAAGTTAAAAGTCAGTTTCAGTTTCTTTTCAGCAGATGAAATATATATATATTTTTTTATATAAATATTTTCATTTAAAATTAAGATATTTGGCACAGAGTCCTAAGCTTACAGTTTTCAAATGGTGTCTGTCCTGCTCTCCACTGATCAACGTGGAAGAATTTGGGAAGGAAATTGTGCTCTTCATGAACTTGTACCTTGTGTGTTTATCTTTCCCTCTGCCTCACGCCCAATGATCTAGCAGTATTCCAAGACTGTAGAAGATGAGAGAAAGGGTAGATTTATTTCTCCACATCAGTGGGGATAAAGGGAGGGGATAAGAGAAGCAGCCCTGGGGATTTCTGAGTACAGAATCTTCCTGTTTAATTCATTCATGTTTTCCCACTAACAATACTGTGGTCATTTGTATCCTTTGCTATATCTCCAATGTGCACCCAGGGGCCTATATGCATGGCCTCATTTGTATTTAAACCCAGATATTTAGAGTCTTGTTCCAGTCCAGTTCTAAAGAGGATTTTTTCAGGGTGGGGGGCGGGAGGGAAAAAGCCAATAAAACCTCAGTTTAAGATGGAAATTCAAATATTAATCTTTAATGATTATATTCCACTTCTTATCTTTCTGCTGTACTTTTAAAAAGTACTCATATGAGTAGAATCCATTTTTATATGAAGAATTTGAGTCACTACTTTATTGAGGGTGGAGAGGTAACAAATTACAGACTAGTGCAAAAAACAAAACAAAACAAAAAATAGAACTCCTATATTCTCCAAAGTGCTTCCTGAATAAATTTCAAAACCTGAACTCTCACCAATTTGTTAAACATTGGAATACCGTTTATATGAACTGTCTGCTTGGAGCCTCTGACCTGTTTTCAAAGTTCTAGAATGTTCTACAGAAAAATTCTAAAGCAGGTAGTCATAGATGGGCATGAAAGGGAATCTTCTGCATCCTCCTTCCAGTATTGCACAATATAAAACCTGCCAACAAGTTGTAAGCAGGTGCAGCCTTGTCTCGCCACATACAACATGAGGCCCACACGTTGGAACTTCATCAAAAGCTGCCACCAAGTCTGTCATACATCGTGTCACCCACACAGCCTTTCTCTTTGCACCATTCAAACACAAATGAGAGATGGAATCTCTAGGTCACCCTCAAATGTACGGTAGCATGAGGAACAAATTAAATCCAGATGACTCATTATTTCACGGGAATCTGCGCTCTGGGAGCCAGGCCTCCTCATCTGCCCAGACGTTCTGACTGCCTCCCCAGGCTGAGCTCACCAGGCATCCTTGCTCCATGCTGTGCTCTCCCTTTACCCACTGCTCATCAGCTCAGGATGGGGAAACACCTTGACTCCAAGCAGATGGTCCACCATCCTCCTTTATGCCTTGGAAAGATGTGGAGCATTTTTAGCGCCCTTTGCTTAAAAAGTGATTACAGATATACATAGGGTTTCCATAAATAAAATTTGAGGCATGTATGTATATATTAAAATTTTCACCAACACGGGTGTGTTCAAAATTTCAAGTTCTGTCATTCAAGTTCAATAAAGGCACACAATTTTTTTTCTTTAGGCTTGCAAAGAATACAACTGCTGGCGAGAAGTCATAAAAGGCATTTTATGGGGCTTTTTTCTTTGATTTTCCTCTTCTTGGGTTAAGCATTCATCCGGTCAATCAATGGCATGACTCTACTACCCAAAGAAAGTATTTAGATGCATAGAGGCTATTAAATGGATCCCACTGTTGTGTCAGGTTTCAAAGTAACAAGCCCCAGCCATGCCGGGTCAGTCACCCCAGGCCTGCTTTGGCCATTTCCATTAAGGCTTCTCACTTCCAAATCGGGCTTTCCGGTTGCCGGGTTCCGATGCCCTTCGGACCAGCCTGGGTGGCGGCTTGGGTCGGATGCCTTCAGTCCCACGGTCTTCCTGCGCTGGGCCAAATTGGCCTTTGGAGAGAAGGGGCTGCCGCAGCATGCCTGGGGTTGGGGTGCCTCCCTCTTTGCTGTGGGGAGCTGGAGGGGTACAAGGCTGCCCCTGTCCGGAATCAACGTCAACCTCGTTCTTCCATTCCATCTTATAGGGCTGTGGGGCTTTCTTTGAGAACTGTTCTGGCAAGAAGCACCTTGCTCGGGGCTGCAAATTGAGGACGGTGGTCCCAGCATCTGTCTCTGAGTCGCTGCTATTGCCGCCTACCACAGAGCAAAAGAAGGACAACATGGCAAGCATTTTAGAGAGAAGGGACTGTAGGTGACTCAGCAGTGCACGAGTGGGTGCAGCACCTGCTGTGCCCTCGGGCCCTGGGGGCTGGGCGGTGGGGGGCGGTCAGAGGGCTCACTACCTCTAGCCCCCAGACCTGGGCATGAGGCATGATCTCTGTGGGCCTTACTGTTGAACGCTCACACCCACGGTGAAGGGCGTACTGTCATGATAATAAGCACTTTTAAATGCATTCACCTATTTAATCCTCACAATCACCCATTTGCCAGGGGAAGTCACTGAAGTTCAAGAGGCGTTAGTTGAGTGGTGGAGCTGGCTAGCAAAGTGAGTGTCCCAGGTGGCAGCAGCCCTGGGTTCCCACCTGTCCCAGCAGAATGCTCCCAGGAGGGCTCAGCTCTGTGACTGGCACACAGAAAGAGCCGCAATTGGCTGCTATTAATGAAAACTCGTGACTTGCTCTGGAATCTCAGAGACAACCTTCTTTATCTCCTTTTTATTTTCATAAAAGAGCCGAAATACCAATGTGCACGTTCCAAACAATGGGATCATTGATGGGACACAGGATCAGAACTAGCTGGTTGTCAAAATTCAGGTTCTAGAGAACGGTGGGGAGGACAGCTGGTGGGAGCTGGGATTCTTGGGATGAAAGCATGCTCTGGTGGATGCGCGCTGGTGACATGGCCCTGCCCTAAGTACTCAGTGCTGCTCGGCCTCCCTTCTCATTTCTCATCTCACCCATCATCACCACCAGCCATCACCAGACTTTCCTCTTCTTGGTTAATTAAATAAACAACCAAAAATAAAGGGGTACTCTTACATCCCACATTTTACTAACATGGTATCCTAATATACTTCTTCTGGGCTTCACAGAAAATGGCTTGGAGACTACATAAAGATTATCATTAAATCAAGAGTTTTAAATCAGGACTTTATATACCAAAGCTTTAATGATTTGGGGCAGAAGTAAAATTTATGGCTGCCTATATGAAAATTGTAAAAATTTAAATATACCTTTGCAAATTTACAACTTTCTGTTTACCTGTTCACTAACCACAGGTAACAGCATTTGCTTGTGCTATATCCAGTAGAATTATTATGGAAAATAATGGACTCAGTTACTTTTAATATGTACAGAAGCTCCATCCAAAAAGCTTATGATGCTAATAATAAGTCACCATAGTCTTATTTTAGACTTGCAAATCATTAACCTCATTATCCTTAATGAAGACAAAGAATGGGGAAATTTTGTTTTATGAACATTAGTAGATAAATTTACTCATTCTGCGCCAACTGAATTCATTACCTGCATTAGACATATTCTTTTTCTTTTGTAGCTTTTCTGGAAGCTTTGTGTTTTTTGGTAAGGACAAATATCGAGAGGTTGAAGTGGAAGCCTGTGGAAAACATGGAAAATCTTATTTAGACTATGTAGATGTCATTTATTGTATATCAAAAATTTAAAATCTTAGGTCAAACCCTGATGTTAAAAATTAAAATCGTACTTCTCTGTTCCAAAATTACTTTGTGAGGAGCTGTGGGGATGGTGAGTAAAGCTCCATGCAATAATTATTTCACTTAAAACAACTAAATCTCTTCTAAAATGTAATAGAAATCAGTATTAAGGAAAATGAAAATAAAGTGGGACCATTAGAAAGAAGAATAATGAAATAATAATGAAAACCACTGAGTCTTCTTAAAGAGAAGCTATAAAGACCTATTTATAAGAGTATTACTAAAAAAGAAGTAGGACCTATACATATAGAAAGAAAATATGTGAAAAATGTAGCATATTTAAGTTTTAATTACTTTAGTGAGTCTCGAAAAATGAAAGAATGAAAAGTATTACCAAAGCTAATTGGCTGACAATTCAAATGCCACAATCTCTACTTTCTTTAACTCTTCATCAGTTCTGCCACATTTTCACATTAAAAAAAAAAATCTTCTTGTTCACATATTACCATTTTGGTCTCTGACGACCCAATACAGAATATTATTAAAAATGAGATGCAATCCAGGAACGCCTGGGTGGCTTAAGTGAGTTAAGCGTCTGCCTTCGGCTCAGGTCATGATCCCGGAGTCCTGGCATTGGGCTCTTTGCTCAGCGGGGAGCCTGCTTCTCCCTCTGCCTGCCCCTCCCCCTGCTTGTGCTCTTTCTCTCTCTCTCTCTCAAATAAATATATAAAAATCTTTTAAAAATAAATAAATAAAAATGAGATGCAATCTAAAACTAACGCAGACTTGTGTGTCAATTATACTCAAAAAAATAACACTAAGATGCAATGTCTGCTGTGTGAAATCAATCAATCGTAATGTCATTTAAAAATGATTTTCCTTGTCTGTTGACAGTGCCCTGTGCCAAGTGAAAAGGTGGACACTCGCACGCCCCAGCTGCTGTGATTGTACAGTTCCAGCACAAGCAGCTTGCCCATCTCTGGGCTGCAACCTCTCCCTGGGGAGATCAAATTAGACTTTCCAAATGTAACTTGGTCCAGCCATGCTGTTCAGATTTATAACTTGACTGACCCTTTCCTGTCCTCCCAGTCTCCCTCCTCAAGCACTGTTTTTCTCCACAGCACTCACTGCCTACTAACGTAACAGATAACGCATTCCATTGCTGGGCACCTTCTCCCCACTAGAATATGAATTCTACCAGCAAAGGTATCTTGGTCTGTTTCGTTCACCAACATATTTCAAGTGCCTACAACAGTGCCTGGAACACAACAGATGTTCTAGAAACATCTAGAAAGACTTCACACTTTGTGTCCCAGAATTCCCATGAATCAACCCTCAGCGGCCATTCTGTCAGTAGGGCCTCCAGAATGGCTGTTGACTCTACTCTTGGAAGCCTTCCTCGTCCCAGACAAACGGTAACAAACAGCAGTTACCCTGCGTTCCTGGTTCAAGCTGCTGTCTTTCCTGATACTTTCTCGCAAACTGTGCCTCCGTCTGATCAGAATCTCCTTGGCTTGTCGCTCACTTGTGTCGGCCGTCAGATTGTGTCTGTTGTAGGACAAAGTCTGAAATGAGAACACAAGAGACCTTTTACAAGAACTGATTGCTACCCTAGAGATCCCAAAATGTTACTATGTTGCTTTGGCTTTGCACCTGAGTGAGGCACTTAACAAATGTGCAGAGCAGAAAAATAAATCAATAGAAAGCATAAAAGTTAACATGCGGGGAAAAAAAAAAAGTGGACATTCATTCCAGGTTTGAAAGCACTTGTCTTCTAATAAAAGTCTGTAAGTTATTTTTCACTGCAAAGTGTGATCTTCATAAATCGAAAGAATGACAGAATTTATCAAGTACTTCTATCTACCTTGAACTACTTTGTATGTATTTAGCCATCATTAACAGCTGGGGGAAAAATACAATTCATCTTTATACATTCTCTACTGAATAGGAATTACTGGCATAAAAACAAACCACTTTGAGCCACTTGGTGGTGCCATGTCCTTTTGATTAACTTAAGAACACTTGTTCTCAACTGGGTTGTCAAACTGGAAAAAGCTGCTGCCAGAATCAGCAATAACCACGTGCTAGCACTTGAAGCAGTAAAATTTCTAAACCGGGGCTGCGCATGGCATACATTTTTAGTTTTGTAAGTTTCCTAAAATGAATTGCAATTAGTAATCAAGTTCATTTTCTGATAGAATAGATACATATTTTCCTAGGAAGGCAGGGAGCCTTCGGCTCAGGTCATGATCCCAGGGTCCTGGGATCGAGCCCCGCATCGGGCTCCCTGCTCGGCGGGAAGCCTGCTTCTCCCTCTCCCACTCCCCCTGCTTGTGTTCCCTCTCTCTCTGTCTCTCTCTCGGTCAAATAAATAAATAAAATCTTAAAAAAAAAAAAAAGTATATAAGCTCGGGGTGCCTGGGTGGCTCAGTTGGTTAAGCGTCTGCCTTCGGCTCAGGTCATGATCCCAGGGTCCTGGGATCAAGTCCCGCATCAGGCTCCCTGCTCTGCGGGGAGCCTGCTTCTCCCTCTCCCACTCCCCCTGCTTGTGTTCCCTCTCTCGCTGTGTCTCTGTCAAATAAATAAAATCTTAAAAAAAAAAAAAAAAGGTGCTGTAGGGAAAAAGGCGGAACAACAGTAATGAGTAATGGAATGAGGACAGCCTTTGGGGAGACCAGCAAGAAGGTACAGAAATGACCCCAACAGTAGTGAGGAAGTCTCCTGACATCCCATGTGGACTGTGTGACACCTCCCCACTCACTGTACCTTAATTTATTCATCTATAAAATGGAAACAATAGCGACACCACTTGGAGGATTGAGTTAATACATGTTGCAGTGGGGCATGGCCAACTGTATGCACCCTCAAAATGTCAGCTATATTATTAGCCAATTGGTAGAATGAAGTGTTAACAATGGAACAGCAGGGACGCCTGGGTGGCTCAGTCGGTTAAGCAGCTGCCTTTGGCTCAGCTCATGATCCCAGGGTCCTGGGATCGAGCCCCACATCGGGCTCCCGGCTCAGAGGGGAGTCTGCTTCTCCCTCTGCCTCTGCCTCTGCCCCCAGCTTGTGCTCTCCCTTTCTCTCTCACTCTCAAATAAATAAATAAAATCTTTATTAAAAACAAAAAACAAAAACAATGGAACAGCAGTGAAAGAAGTCACTCGGGAGATTAAAACATTAAAGGAAGAAACTATAGCACTTTACGAATAACAAGAAAGATTAAATACATTTTAATACGTTTTCTATAAGCTATTCATTAAAGCAATTCATTAAAATAATTAAAGCTATTCATTTCTAAAGCAATTTCATTAAAATAATTAAAAGAGAGCCACAATTAGTTAACTCAGATGCTTTTATCTCCATAGTAGCAGAACTCCTGGGAGACTCCAGGCTTTCCCCATGGTGTCCGAGAGGGAGTGGTACCCTAACAAGATAGGACTCTCAGAGAAGAGAAGATGCCTGATGTAGGACATGCAAAAGGTAGCCATAATGGTTGGGTGACCTCTGCTACAACTGAGTAGCATGAAATCAGAAGGCATATTTTTAGCCAAAGGCAAGGAAACATTTTGCTAAATAAATTATTCTCACTCGCTGACGGATTTGATAGAGATTTCTGGATAATATTTCTCGAATTTCATCCATTTCACCAGGTGTGAGCTTCCTTATTTTTTCTTCACGACAATCACTGTGAAAGGTTAGAAAAAGAATATCTTTTACTATTCAACAAACACTGGAATCCTAAATTTTCCTTTTTGGGGATATACTATCATTTAAGAAGAATATCATTTAAGATTAAGAATCTTAGCTTAAAGAATAACACTTAAGGAGTATTCAATATTTTAAAATAACTCAAACTTCTAAAACTCTTCAGTGTTAAAATTATTCAAAATGAGTTTAGTCATGCACAGGTTTTCAGAGTCTGTTCATGCAATTATATTTTTTCCACACAAGTATTCTTTAAGGAAGAAAAACTGTAGTAGCTTATAATGCTATCATTTTATTATTATTAATACTCTATTAATAAGGTAATACACAGGGTGCCTGGGTGGCTCAGTTGGTTAAGCAACTGCCTTTGGCTCAGGTCATGATCCTGGAGTCCCGGGATCGAGTCCCACATCGGGCTCCCTGTTCAGCGGGGAGTCTACTTCTCCCTCTGACCCTCCCCCGTCTCATGCTCTCTCTCTCTCTAATTCTCTTTCTCTCAAATAAATAAATAAAATCTTTAAAAAAAAAAAAAGGTAATACACAATTGGGTTTTTTCCCAACAGAAACTTAATTACCTACATTTGCTAATTATTAAGTCCTAGTCTTTTAAACACTTCATTAAAAATATTTTCAAAGACACCATTTATAATATGTATGTATATACAGTCAATCACCATTATTCAAGGATTTCATATTCGCAAAGTCACCTACTCGCTAAAATTTATTTGTAAACACAGTGCCAATACTCATGACAATTTTTCATAGACATGCGCAAAGTGGGGGAAAATTTGAGTTCCCCAACGCACAGGTTCCTAGATAAGGCTGAACATGGCGATGCCGTGCCTTCTTGTTTCAGCTCCTGTACTGTAAACAAACGTCCTTTCCATGGTCTATTTAATGACATATTTTTCATATTTTTGTGCTTTTTGTTTGGTGACTTCACTGTTTAAAATGGCGCCACGCATAGGTCTGAAGTGATGTCGAATGTTCCTGAGCAAAAGAAAGCTGTGATGTGCCTTCCAAAGAAAAGTCATGTCAGATGAGCTTTGTTCAAGCATGAGTTACGGTGCTGTTGGCCAGGAGCGGAGTGTTAATGAAACAACATATATTAAATAAGGTGTCTTCAAATAGAAACATACATAAAACAAGGTTATGTATCGAATGGTTAATGAAAATGTTGTGACCAGAAGCTCACAAGAACCTAATCCTGCATTTCCCCTAGGAGTAAGGGTTCGGTATTCCCAAATCCGTGTTCATGACAATTTTATAAAACATAACTACTGCCCAGACGAACCATGAGAGACAATGGATTCTGAAAAACAAACTGAGGGCTCTAGAGGGGAGGGGGGTGGGAGGATGGGTTAGCCTGGTGATGGGTATTAAAAAGGGCACGTTCTACATGGAGCACTGGGTGTTATACGCAAACAATGAATCATGGAACACTACATCTAAAACTAATGATGTAATGTATGGGGATTAACATAAGAATAAAAAAAATATAAAGAGAAAATCTTAAAAAAAAAAAAAAAAAAAAACATAACTACTGCCCACAATGAGAACCAACTGTACTGATACGGTTTTATTCCAACTCCTTCAAAAAGGCTTTGAGGGGGCCTACAAAAATATATAGTACAATAAAATACATAGATAAGATAAATTAAAGCTGAGAAGGCTAATACACATTAATGCAGGTCTTACAGAAGATGGGGTAGGGACATACCAATTGAAGAGCATAGTTCTCTTACTTATTTTTAATGCAAACTTGTTACTGAAAAACAAGCATAATATTAATTACCTATGCCCAAAGGGTAATGGAGAAACACAAAGGAATGAATGCAGAAATCTAAGGCTTCAGCAGAACAGACTTCTCTAGATATAAAGGATCCATTTTTGTCTCAACCTCAATTGCTCGGATGAGTTTTTAAGAAGCATCTTCTTAGACTGAGGCATTGTTGTTTAGACAGCTGTCTGAGTTTCTACTCAGGTTTTTTGATCAGCAAAGTTAATTCACAGAATTTTAGAAGGACTTATAAGGTCAAGAGGTAATAATCTTTTGGGGATCTGATGTTCTTATCTTATCCAACAAATGTTTGTATAACTCTAGAGATAAGTGCACAACTACCTCCCTTGTTTATGCTTAAAATATATTTTATTGGGATATGATTCAAAAGAGAAAAGCATGTGACTCTTACACATACGGCTCAATAACTATCACAACTGAAAGTACTTGTATAACCATTACCCAAGTCAAAAAACAGAACATGAACTAAAACCCCAGAAACCACATCATATTCCACCCCCCAACAATCACTACTTCGCTCCCTCTTTGACAAAACAACCACTATCCTAACTTCTGAGTTGACAGAATAGTTGCACCTGAACTTGAACTCTATATAAATGGAGTCTTAACTATATTAATGGAGTGTACCTACTATCACAATAGGTAGTCAGTTATTGATTGATTGATTGATTGATTTACAATAGGTAGTCTTTTATTTATTTTTATTTTTTTATTTTATTTTTTTTAAAGATTTTATTTTTTTTATTTATTCATGAGAGACAGAGAGAGAGACAGAGGCAGAGGGAGAAGCAGGCTCCCCGCGGAGCAGGACCCTGGGATCATGACCTGAGCCGAAGGCAGACGCTTAACCGACTGAGCCACCCAGGCGTCCCATACAATAGGTAGTCTTTTAAATTTAGCTTCTTTTGCTTAGCATTGTGTTGGAGATTCATCTGTGTTACCTCACGTAGCTGTGGTTTGTTCATTTTATTCATTGTATAATATCCCACTACATGAATATATAACAATTTATCCATTTTACTCTTGATGGGTATTTGCCTTATTTCTGAATTTTGGATATGACAAACAATGCTTTTATGAGTATTCTCATATATATATTTTTGAACACATATGATTATTGATTATTGACCATTTGGATACCCTATTTTGTAAACTGCCTGAACAAGTCTCTTGTCCATTTTCCCATGGGACTATCTTTTTTTTTTTTAGACCTTTCTCAGTTTTATGTGAGGCAAGTATCTTCTTCCATTTTATGGCTTGCCTTTTCATTCCTTTAATGAAATATTTTCCTATCACAACAGTAACAGGATATTCTCTCATATAATTTTCAAAAGCTTTATTGTTTCCCCACTCCCATACATACCTATGATACTCCCTGGCTTGATACAATGTGAAGTACTGTTCAATTTCACTTTATCTCCATATGGATCCCTAATTGCCCCAGGGCCATTTTTTTAAGGCCATCTTTTCCCTACTGCTTTGTAATGTAAACTTTGTCATTAATAAGTATCCATACATGTGTGGGTCTATTCCAAACTCTTACTTTGCTCCACTGGTCTATTTGTCCTTTTGTCTTTGTTCAGTATCACATTGTCTCAATCATGGGAGCTTTACAGAAAGTCTTGCTACCTAACAGTATAAATCCTCTAAATTTGTTGTTCAGTTTTGAAGACAATTTGTCTTGGTTAATTTGGGCCCTTTATATTTCCATAGAAATTTTAGGACCAGACTGTCTAATGACACACCCACACACAAACACATTGGGATTTTTAATGGAATTGCTTTGAATCCGTAGATTAATTTGAGAAGAATTAAAAATCTTATAATATTGAGTCTTTCTTTTTAGTAATACAGTCTTTATCTGTTTTGGACTTTCTGTGGAGAGGTTTCACACATATTCTCTAAACTTCATTTTGATGTTTGATATTGATGTATATGCCTCATAATATTATTGTAAATTAAGCATTTTTTAAATGTCACTTTCTATTTGTTGATACTTATGAAAATTACCCACTGATTTTTTTTTACCATGTATTAAGAAACCTGGATAAATTTACTTATTATGTCTAATTATTTATCTGTAGGTTCTTTTGGATTTTCTGTGAAAACAATCAAGCTGTTTGGGAATAACAAAAGCTTTACTTCTTTCCCTATCCTTAATCTTTAATTTTTTTTTTTTTTGCTTAGCATTGGTAAAATATTCATAGAAATAGTAATAATAGGCATCTGTGTTCCAGATCTTAGTATAAACCTTTCAACATTTCAACATTAAAAATATTATTTGCCGTAGATTATTTGTGAATAAACTTTATCAGTTTGAGAAAGGATTTCTTCTATTCTTAGTCTATTTAGATTTTTTTAAAAAAATCAAGAATAGAAGGGCACCCGGCTGGCTCAGTTGGTTAAGTGTCCGACTCTTGATTTTGGCTCAGGTCATGATCTCAGGGTTGTGAGATCATGCCCCGTGTCAGGCTCTGAGCTCCGTGCAGAGTCTTCTTTGCCCTCTCCCTCTGTTCCTCCCCCTGATTATGTGCTCTCTCTCTCTCTCTCATAAATAAATAAATAAAATCTTTTTAAAAAATCAAGAATAGATATTCAATTTTATCATATAATTTCTCTGCCTCTATTACAGATAAATAATAACCTTTGATTTTTCTTCCTTTATTCTGTAAAAGTGGCAAATAACTGATTTTTTACTTTTAAGCTACCCTTATATTCCTGGAATAAGTCAAAATTATTGTGATGTATATCTTTTTTACATATCTCTGGACTTGGTTTGCTAATATTATGTTTATAATTTTTACAGAAATATTATAATTTTCCTTCTGTTTAAGTGTCTTTGTCAGGCTCAATACCAAAATTATGCTAGTCGCATAAGGTAATTTGGGAAGATTTCCATCTTTTCTTACTTTCTGAAGAAGTCTATGCAAGATTGGTTTTATCTCCTCCTTAAATGTTTGGTAGAATTTACAAATAAAGCCATATGGTCTTGGGGTTTACTCTGTGGAAATATTTCAATTACAGATTTATTTACTTAATACTTGGAGTACTATTCAAACTTTCTGGTCTTTTATGGGTTTAATTTGTTGTTCCTTTTTCTAATTTCCTAGCATGGATTATTGATTTTCAGCCTGACTTCAACATTTTCATTAAAGGTTAAAAAAATTTCCCTTTAAACAATGCTTTACACAAGTTTTCATACGTCGCATTTTTCAAAATATTTTCTGATTTACATCATAATTTGTTTGATCCAGTTTTTATTCAACTTCTAAATAGAGGGATATTTGACTTTTTATACTGTTTTATATTTTATTTTGTTTTTGATTCCCTTCTGGTAAGGGAACATGCCCTATATGAAACTTTTAAAGACTTGATTGTTTATTATGTGGTTGAAATCTATATCTTTACTGAAAGTCTGTCTGCTTGTACTATCAGTTTATAGGAGAAGAGCAATACAATAATCCACTATGATTAGGAGTTTGTATATTTCTACTTGTGGCTCTGTCAAGTTTTGGTTTATATATTTTGAGGCTATGTTATTATTTGTATGCTAATTTAGACTTTTATATCTTCTTTTAGAATTAAACCTTTTATCATTATGAAATGAATCTCTTTATGCCTAGCAATATTTTCCTCATAATGTTTACATTTTATGATAATAATTACACAAACTTTCTTTTGTTTAGTGCTTCAACAAAATATCTTTTTTTTTTTTTAAAGATTTTATTTATTTGACAGAGAGAGAGCCACAGTGAGAGAGGGAACACAAGCGGGGGAGTGGGAGAGGGAGAAGCAGGCTTCCCACGGAGCAGGGAGTCCCATGCGGGGCTCGATCCCAAGACCCTGAGATCATGGCCTGAGCCGAAGGCAGACGCTTAACGACTGAGCCACCCAGGCGCCCAACAAAATATCTTTTTATCAACCTTTCACCTGTAAACTTTCTGTACTATCTCTTATAGATGGAAGTACTATCTCTTATAAGCAACATCTAGTGAGTTGTATATTTTCATCCATTCTGATCATCCATCCTTTTAAATGGAATAAATTTATATTTAATGCAATTACCTTCGGGTTCAAAACTATCATCTTACTATTTTCATTCTATTTGTTCTATAATTGTTTTTTCTACTTTGTTGCCTTTTTAAATTTTATTTTATTTTGCTTTTTATTTCCCTATTCTGTTAGCTTGTTACATTCTTTTACTGTTTTTTAGTGGTTACCTGGGATTACAACATTAGAATACAACAACGCCAGTCACCTCCCTCCAATTTATAAGCTATTTTTGTTGTTAATTTTAATTCTATTTACATTCAAAACCCCACAGACATTATTATTTTATGCAATTACTATTCATTTAGGTTTTACAAATATTCATCATTTCCATTATTTTAATTCCTTCCTTAATCTCCAAGCTTCTCTTCGAGACTCTTCCTTCTGTCTGAAACTTTTTATCATTCAATTTAGTATGATGGGTTTTTTTATCTGAAAATATTTTTATTCTACTTTTTTTTAATAATATTTTAGCAGGATATGAACCCTAAGTCATCAGTCACTTTCTTTCAGAATCTGGACGATACCAATGGTTTCCATGGCTTTTGTTGCAAAGAGGTTTTTTTTTTCTCTCTTTTGAAGAAAATAGGATCTCTTCTTTCCTCTGATTATGTTTAAAATTTTCTGTTTGTGTTTTTGACTTGTAGCAGTTTTACTAGCATTTGGTTTTGGTTTTCTTCTTATTTAATCTGCTTAGGGCTTGTCATAGTTCATGTCTTTTATCTATTTGGGGAAATGCTCAGTCATGACCTCTTAAAATACTATTCCTACTAATTTACCTCTCATTTCCTTTCGGAACTTTTCACAATATCCCATATATTTCTTATTTTGTTTTCCATATTTTCCAATGTTTTTTTTTTTCACTCTATTCTTCATTCTGATTATTCTTTCTTTCCTATCTTCCAACCAATCGATCGATTCTCTCTACAGCTGTGTCTAATCTACTTGTACACTATCAAATGAGATTCTAAATTTAGTTAATTTTTAGCTCAACTATTCCATTTAGATCTTTTTTATTTATATCATCTCTATGACAATGTCAAAAGTGTTGATGCCATTTTCCTTCCTTAAACATACTTTTAATTTTAAAGCCCCTAACTCAACTATCTGAAACCCACTTGTGTCTGTTACTAAGGTTTTTGTTTATCTTTCTCTCAAAGTTTCCAATAACATTTCCTTGTCTACTCATATGCTTTTGACATTATATATGAAAAATCATGGAGGTAGTTTAAGACTCTTTAAAATCTTATTTTCCTCCAGAGAAGATTTAAGTTTATTTCTCTCAGTCAGCTGGGATAAAAGTAATATCAATCTCAGATAATTTAAACAATCATGGATTGAGATAATTCTAGGTCAGACTTCTTTCCTTTGAGGGTTAAGGTGTAGAATTCTGAAGTAATAACCTATAGCTGAGTACAAGAGCTCCTCCTTCTTGGTAGGTCCTAAATTCCAATTTTATTCTCGAAGACCAATCAGTCTGTCAAAACTTTTGTTTAAGCCTTTTAGACTCTCAGATAATTTCTCTGTGATCCAGGGAGAAAAGGGCACTAAATGCCAGTTCCATCTTCTTGGGACTTCCCTTTTCTGTTGACTCTTGGCCAAGAAATTCCTCATTGTACTGGTACTTTCCAGCTTTTAAGCAGATTTTTAAAATATATTTTGTCCTTTTTTTTTCTAGTTGTTTTCATAGGATAGTTTGGTCTAGAACACTTAGTCCTTTACTGTCAGAAATACAATTCCGGGTGCCTGGGTGGCTCAGATGGTTAAGCATCTGCCTTCGGCTCAGGTCATGATCCCGGGGTCCTGGGATCGAGTCCCGCATCGGGCTCCCTGCTAGGCGGGGAGCCTGCTTCTCTCTCTGCCTCTGCCTCTCTCTTTCTCTCTCTCTGACTCTCATGAATAAATAAATTAAAAAAAAATTAAAAAAAAGAAATACAATTCCTTTATTACCTCCCTTTTTGCTTCTAATTTCCCCTAAAGAAAACATTTCAGGAGATGTGGAATGGTCAACATGGTACTGATTTATCTAACCATACAGCTGACCATTAGTTCTGCTACCTACCTCCATAACCTTTGCATTTGCTCTGCTTACTACCAGTTCCTAAATGAACTATAAACAGGGAGTAAAACTAAGATATTTTATCTTCTGTGATCACAAAGACGATGGTTCTCCCTTGTGAAGCTGAATAATTGAATTATCCCTTGCTACAACTGCAGATGGAATAGTGCCTAAGAAAGATCGTTAACTTATAGAGCTAGAAGGAAACAAAGATCAAGTCTAGCCCCATTTTCTACTTGGAAGAAACTCAATCTCGGGGAAACAGATGACCCAGCTTAAGGTCACACAGTGAATTATTGCAGGGTGAGACTATAAATCAGTCACTCTGCTCACACCACTACTGTTTTTAGTGCAGTATAATGCCTTTAGCTCCAAGCCATCCTGACCACTATTTCTTTTTATTCTGGATTGTGTAAACTCCCATATTTTTAATAGGGGATTTAGGGTCTTAGTAAAAATCCTAGTTTATATGGTTGGGTGTGATTTGGAGTTTCCTGTCTCATTTCGGCTCTCCCATAGATAGCATTTTAATTAGGTGACATGTATTTTAAATGTACTTCAAGCTCATCAGTGAAGGAAGAAATCAGCAGAACCTGTAATTTCTGTCATTTTTGTGGCAGGGAAGGATGAATGTTTACATGATAAAATGACCTATTGTTAACTGAGTGTTTACAGTTATGCTACGGATTTGCTATAAGATTTTGGGTAAGTCACTTTATCATTCTGAATCTTCATTTCCTCATTTTTAAAAGTAGGGAGACAGACTAGATCAGTGGCTCTCAAACCTGACTGCATATTGGAAATATCTGAAGAACTTATAAATAAAATATACCCATACCTGGGCCTTACCACCAGAGATTTGGGTTTTACTGGTGTGGGTGGGGCCCGGACATGTGTATTATTTAAATGCTCTTAAGATATTTTTAATATGCAGCCTATGTTGAGAATCCCTGTACCAGATGATCGCTAATGTTCTTTACAAGCCTTAAACTATGACTGTATGAGAAATCTATATAATTCCATGCATATTTATAATCACACACATTAAGATATTCCATTCCAAATTGCTTGCTAAAGAGGCACCTTAACAAAGCAGTGAGTTACCGCAAGAAAATATAACAAAGACACAGTCGTCTTAAACATGACAAAATATTTTCTGACTAGCCAGTTCTAAAATAACACAACATGATGCGACCTGGGGTGACGTAAAGGAAGGTATACATTTCTAGGGATCACAGTTTAACCAGAATCTCATTCTTCTGTGAGGTCTAGGACATAGGTGAAATTTGTTACTCTTACTGGTGTCAAAAAACTAGAAAGACGGACTTAGTGGTAGTAACTTTTATTTGCAAAATGGTACTTACTTCAGAGAGGCAAAGGAAGGAACCGCGCTTATCATCCCCGTCTCCGCCATCTCGATGGCATGTTTTATTTCCAGCTTTTTATACAAAGACACAATGCTTGACTTGGGTTGGTTTTCCCGAATCAAAAGCTTCCGCAGGTATTTGTCATCGAACTTCTTAAACCTGGAAATAAAGAAAATCCAAGCTTCAGTTAATTAATACTACATTGACCAGAAAAACAAAACAAAACAAAACAAAAAACACAAGCCTGTTTTTACCATCATTTCTACCACACCCAGGGAAAAACTGAGTAGTAGTGTTTTGCTTGTCTGCTCAATATATATATTTTTATATGTATATACCTGAATATATGTGTATATAAAATATATGTGTATATAAATGATACTACTGGTACATTTTTGTATATAGCCATGATATACATATATCTAATAATCCACTAATTATAGATTAAAATATGTATATCTTTAACATTTGCAATTTTGCTGCTTCTCTTTTCAGCGACATTACTCAAAAGTGTTAATACTTGGGGCATCAGGGGGGATCAGTCGGTTAAGTGTCTGCCTTCGGCTTAGGTCATGATCCCAGGGTCCTGGGATCGAGCCCCTCATCGGGCTCTCTGCAGGAAGCCTGCTTCTCCCTCTCCCACTCCTCCTGCTTGTGTTCCCTCTCTCACTGTCTCTCTCTCTCTCTCTGTGTCAAATAAATAAATAAAGTCTTAAAAAGAAAAAAAAAGAAGTGTAAATACTTCCTCCAATTCCTCTCTGATTTTCTCTTGAATGTTCACAAATTAGGCTTTTGCCCCCAATACTCTGCTGAAGCTACTCGTATTGAGGTCATCAGTGACCCCACAGTATAAATCCAATGGCCAATCATTGGCCCTCACCTTTCCTGACCTCTCCTGCTTAACACGTCATTTTCCAGAACATGACACACTCCTGGGCTCCCTCCTGCCTCTTTCTCAGCCTCTTTTGTTGGGTCTTTCTCTTTTTTCTAGCCTCTTGATGTAGGAGTGCCCAGGGTTCCATCTTGGCCCTCTTTACCTCCACTTGCTCTCTGGCCATCTTGCCCAGTCTCCTGATTTTAATGGCATCTCTGTGCCAGTGACTCCCACATTTGTATCTCCTGCTCCAGTCTCGCCCCCAAGCCCCGGAAATGACTATTCAGCTGCCTAGTCAACATCCCCACCTGGATATCCAGTTCTCAGTCTTGATGTTCCCAGATTGAACACATTTTCTCCTATAGTCCTCGCCATTTCAGTTAATGACCACTCCACCAGGTCAAAAACCCTGATGTCACCTCTGATTCTTCTCCTTCTCTCACATTCCATGTTATGGCCTGAATTGTGTCCTCCTAAAAATTCACAGATTGAAGTCCTCACCCCTCGCACCTCAGAACGTGACTGTATTTGGAGACAGGGTCTTTACAGTGGCGACTTTGTTAAAATGAGGCCATGAAGGCAGGTCTCAATCAAATATGACCGGTGTCTCTATGACTAAAGGAAATTTGACACAAACACATCAAGAGGCAGGAAGGAGACCACCTGCAAGCCAAAGAGAGAGGCCTGTAACCGATGTTTCCCTTACAGCCCACAGAAAAAACCAAATCTGCTGATACTTTGACCTTGGACTTCTAGTCCCCAAAACTGTGAGAAAAAAAGATAGTAGGAGAAAATAAATTTCTATTGTTTAAACCACCCAGTCTGTGGTACTTTGTTATAACAACTCCTATCCACTCTACTGGCAATTTCTGCTAGTTCCACCATCAACACACACACACACTCACACAATCCAACCATGCCTCACTACTTCTACACTCCTACCTCTTGGATCTACCCTGGTCCAAGACATCATCATCCCTCAATGGATTCTGGCAACAGGCACCCGACTGGTCTCCCTGCTTCCACCACTGCCTTCCTACAGACTACCCTTGACACAGAAGCCAGAGTGAGCCCGATAAAATATAAGTCAAACCATGTAAAACCCTGCATCTCACTTGAGTAAACGCACAATGACCTGCGGGCCCTACACAATTTGGAGCTGCGTCTCTTAGCAGTGCGCTTCTCACATCCAGCCTCACTGGTGTCCTTCCTGCCCTGGAATCTCGCCAGCTCTGCTCCGACCCGTGGGCCTTTACACCCAGTATCCCTTCCACCGCGAACACCCTTCCCCCACACACCTGCAGGGCTCAGTTTAAATCTTTCCCCTGGAGTCACTTACCAGAAAAGCCTCTCCCATCCATCCCATTAGAACTGCATGCCTTTTCCCACCCCCTGAGCTTCCTATTCTACCTGCCAGCTATAATTTTCTGCACAGCAATTATCATTGTCAAACACGCTCTATAATTTATCTTACTTTCTGTCCCCTAGCACTAGAATGATATATATGGGCAGAGATTTGCTTTTTTCCCAGTTTTCCCTTATCACCAGTGCCTCGGACAGTGCCTGGCACCCTATAAACACAGAGAGTAGAATGGATCATTTGGCCTCAGTTCCTCCCCGTACCCACACCGTCTGCCCTATTCCTTGGCAATGTCCTTCCACCACGGCCTAGGTGACCTGCGCTGTCCTATTTCCTCAATATTGTTCCCTGCTCTGGTCAGTGGGCTGTAGCAGACATGACAATTGGGGCAGAGGCTTAAAATGGGTTTGTGTATTGAAGCTTACCTCTTTTGTTTCTATAATTACCATGAGAAGGATATGTGTGGAGTGACTCCTTAGTCCCCGGACAAAGGTGAATGCCACATGAAGCAGAGTTCAGTCACTCCAGTCACATCAGAGAAGGCCAGCCGGGATCAGCTGACAAAACCAACCAACCCCGGGAAGCATGAGCAAGACCAGTCCACAGCAGCCCAGCGCAGCCCAGAGCCTGGACTCGCAGACTCGTGCGTGACTCATGCACTTTAATAATGTCACTGTTGTGGGGCGCCTGGGTGGCTCAGTTGGTTAAGCGACTGCCTTCGGCTCAGGTCATGGTCCCGGGGTGCTGGGATCGAGTCCCACATCGGGCTCCCGGCTCAGCGGGAAGCCTGCTTCTCCCTCTCCCACTCCCCCTGCTTGTGTCCCTGCTCTCGCTGTCTCTGTCTCTGTCAAATAAATAAATAAAATCTTTAAAAAAATAATAATAATAATGTCACTGTTGTTTGAGCAGCTGAGTATCAGGGTGGTTTGTTATGTAACATTATTATGCCAATAGGTAAGCAAAACAGCATGCAATGAATATTTGTTGAGAAAGAAAAAAAACGCATTATGGGGATTACCATAAGCCCAAGGAGGTTTATAGGTACACCCGTGCTATGAAAGGAACAATGTGAACCCACATTCTTGGTACTAAGCCCTTTGTTCTACACTGGAGGGCAATAAACAATTAAAGAGTCCTCCTTTTGACTGGCCACTACATGACACAGGGGCCAAGTTTTTTCCATGTTTATTCTGAATTTCACACGAGGCTCATTGGGCTAGGATTCCTGGCAGCAACGCATCTTTTTAAACTTCTGTTATTCTTATTATTGTTTTGGCTTTTCACTAGAGAGAAACAAAAGAAAGAATAAGCATTTAGGGCAAGGGCATCTAATTTATAGGAACTGTGCACTTTCTTTGCTTTATTTTCACGCCTTTCATTTCTCTGCCAACCTACACCTAGGCACTCTCTCTCGCCATCATTAGACTCCTTTTACCAAGTTTGAGAAACTTCCCTACTCAAAGGTTTAAGCCTTACCCTTTCTCAAAGGATCAGCTACCTCACAAATTCTCTGGCAAGACCACTAGAAAGCCACAGCATTAAGGATTCCAGAGGAAATGGAAAGAAACCCAGCATACCTAAAACAATCCACTTCTTTATATGTGATCTTTAGTAACATCAACAATTATGTACATACCAGAGATAGGATCTGAGCAGAGCTAATTTTAAGAATGACCTGCGTCAGCACCAAATTCCTCCATACCCACACACACTTCCCTGCTCTACCTGCGATATCCAGTGGGCTTGACAATCCAGGGAATTATTTTGAAATTTACCTGGAGAATGTCATGCATGGAAATATACAGGGGTTGAGTGAAATATGTACACTGCAGAGAAAAACCTGAGACACGTAGCAATATTACCTTTTAGACGTGAAATCAGACTTGGCTCTGCCATCTTTAGTATTTATAGTCCAATTAGCCTGGCAGCCTCTAGATGTTTGCCTGGAACAGACTCATGTACCCCAGAGAACAGAGTATCTCTGCCTGAAAGACAGGATGTAACCAGACTTTCTTTGATGTTCCTTTACCTGAGGTTCCAGACCAAAACCACATGACCACAGGGTCCACGACTTCCTCCTAACACTGCCCCAGGGATGCTGACCTGATTCCTACACCTGCTCACGTCTATATCCCCGTTTGGGAGGCAGAGGAGTGGTATAAATCCTTAACCCAATTTCCACTTTGGAAAGGAACCAGCTGTCCTGGGTGACTACTCTCTCTTGTCCCTCCAGGGAAGGACTGATGGGATGCTGGAGGAGGGAGAAAAGTGATCGGGTGGATAGGGAGGAGGTAGGTGGAAAACAGGCCTGGCTGAGAAAAAAAAACAGAGGAAGAGAGGCAGAAAAGTCTGAATCACTGACTTGGCAAAGACAAGGACCCGTCTTTGTTAGGACGGGTTAGGACATAAAGCAGGGTAGTGCGTAGAGAGTACTGTGCAGCTGGGTAGGGTTGGTTCTTTCATCCACCCCCTGCCTGCAAAAATGTGAATCCTGCCCAAGATAAATGGTCCTTCCCCCACCCCCTATTTTAGCAATGAAGATTTTAGTTTGCTTTATTACTTTGTGCTCCCACATAGCTAACTGGGTGCTCTCGCCATACAAATAACTATTTTTTCTTTGCTTATAAAGTAAGGCTAGGTCAAAGAGGCTTTTCTACATTAGTAAACAGTGTGGTCAGGTTTGTAAAGGGTGTTTTAGCACTTAGAGTCTCTGTAACTCATCTTATTACTTAATGATAGCACTCACTCACACACACACCCACACACCCATTGCTGTGTTGCCTTTATTATATTGCAAAATTTTAAAGTCCTGAGTTCATGGTTTATACTTCTCCTATAATCCAGCATCATGTCAGAACATGTGAACAAACAGTAAGCACTCAAAACCTCCCTAATGTTAAATTACATAAATTGGTAGGTTGGTCAACTTCACGTAAATTAGCAGGGGGGAGGGAAGGCATCTATTAGCAAGTTAGGAAAGCAAAGGCAAGAAAGTAAGAGGAATCTACCAAAATATAGTTTAAATCAATGTTGTCTGTCTCCTTCAAAAGGCTTTCCTAACCAGTGATGTGCTGATAAATGTTAACAAATTGTTTTATGGGGAAAAAAATAGGCCCTGGTTTATAGCATTTGTCAGTTCCACGGCACATGGAACACGACTCCAGCTACCCATGTGGATGGCACTGAATATGAAGTCAGGAGGAGAGGCACACGGTCAGCTCCTGGCGATTGGGTGAGCTGGCTCCTGCGCTCCGTGGTCCCCAACCCTGCTGTCCGAATTAATCCTGGAAGTCTGTTTTTCAGTTTATATGAAAACATGTATTTAATTCTGCCTGGATAGTGTACCTTGCCCATTTCAACTACAGGATCCTTGAAGAGGGGCGCCTGGGTGGCGCGGTCGGTTAAGTGTCTGACTCCTGGTTTCGGCTCAGGTCATGATCTTGTGGTCACGGGATCGAGTCCTGCATTAGGCTCTGTGCTCAGTGCAGAGTCTGCTTGAGATTCTCTCTCTCTTCCTCTGCCCCTCCCCACTCTTACTCGCGCACGTGCGCGCTCTCTGTCAAATAAATAAAATCTTTAAAGAAAAAAAAAAAAGATCCTTGAAGAGAGACACTGAATCTTATTTATCCACCACAAAGCTTTTTTTTTTTTAAATACTTCATTTATTTATTTGACAGAGAGAGAGGGAACACAAGCAGGGGGAGTGGGAGAGGGAGAAGCAGGCTTCCCGCGGAGCAGGGAGCCCGATGCGGGGCTCGATCCCAGGACCCTGAGATCATGACCTGAGCCAAAGGCAGATGCTTAACAACTGAGCCACCCAGGCACCCCTACCACAAAGCCTTTAAAGGTTAAAAACAAACAGAGATAGACAGACACATTATATAAGCACACATAATCTTTCATATAAGTGCAGCTTTTAAAATATTTATTTCTATTTGTTACAATATTTGTATTTAAAAATTTATTTGTAAAATACTTGTTAGTCTATTTATATTGTCAGGTGCTCCGAAGCTCTGCATTTGACAAAGCCCCTCGACATGTGTGGAACAACAAACAGTAACAGAACCCTCAGTGCTTCACCAAATAGACTATATTCCTCAGCCTCCCTTGCAGTGAGAAGAGCCCGCATGACTGAGTGCTGGCCACAGAAGGCCAGGCCATGTGTGTAACTGGAAGAATTGTGTGAAAGCTTCTGGTAACTCTAGTTAGGAGGAAGCTAGTACATATTCTTTGTCTCTTCATTATCTTTCTTCCTATGTGTAACCTGGAATGTGCGCACGATGGCTAACGCAGGAGCAGCCATTCTGGTCTAAAAGGCAATCTTGGAAATGGAAGTGGTTCGTGGATTGACCAGGACAGAAGCGTCCTGGGACCATGACGAGTCTGTGGAGCAGAGCTCACCTATTACACCTACATTGCCTACAGAGTTCTGGCTTTTTACAGAAGAGCAAGATAAGCTTCTATCTTGCTCCAGGTCTCTGTGATTGCTGAACTTTATCTCAAAGTACATACTACAGCACAATACAGGAAAGATTTGCAACACTGAGAAATAACACAGGTCAGTAAGTCCTGCTTCCAGAGTGAGCCAGAGCCCCATCATACTATAATGGCATAAGACCTTCTTACTTGTCTCTCCAAAAGTTGTGACCCCAATGTCCACAAACATCTTCAATCCCAGTCTTCACATGATCAAAAAACTAAAACAGAAAAAGTAGGCTACTGATTAATTTTTACCTGAAATCAGTAATTTGCACTCTACTTATATCATGCCTACACTTCAAAGACCCTGACCGTTTTTGCTTTTTTCTGTTGTTGGGTTTTTGTTTGTTTGTTTTGTTTTGTTTTTACTAGAAGCAATGATTCCTCTCCAAATACACTGATTTTATTATATTAATAATAGGCAATTCTCAGGTTATTTTTCTCATCATAACAGTTTGTTCATAATTTTGGAAAATATGAAATATGGTGATAATTTTCCAGTAGAAACATTTTCAGATTGAAGGAAGTAACAAGAGGGATTCCTTGTTCCTGGGGTGCCTGGGTGGCTTAGTCGGTTGAGCATCTGGCTCTTGGTTTCCACTCAGGTCATGATCTCAGGGTCATGGATTGAGCCCCGAGCTGGGATTCTGTCTCTCTCTCCCTCTTCCTCTGCCCCTCCCCTGGTCATGCTCTCTCGCTCGCTCTCTCTCTAAAATAAAATCTTTAAAAAACAGAGGGATTCCTTGTTCCCCCATTCCCAGGAGGTCTAGCAGGTTAATTTGGAGAAGCCACTGTACGGCTCTGCTCACACCCCCCGACTCAAGTCCTTCTTGGCCCTCTCTCCCTTTTACCCTCTGCCACTTCCCTCTCCTTCAAGAAATGAGTGCCAGAATGTCAAGCTGTCGACTGAATCCTACAAGTTTTTCTTTTATCACTTAAATCATTATTACTACGTTAACACTTACCCGGCAATGGATTTCTTCACTGACCGCTTGCTGTTTCTTATTGGACCTCTTAACATCGAGAAATTCCACCAGTGGTCGGATAGTAATTCCCTGCACAGGAAAAAAAATAGTGTATCTTCTTATAGAATTAAGTGAAAAATTCAAGAATAACTTCTATTCTCCTGAGCTTTGATAACCAACAAAAGATATCCTCCTCTCAAGATTTAATACAGTACATGTAACACTTTATTAATTTTTCCTCCTCTCCAATAACTGGCACATTTTCATAGGGCCAAGACCCAACATGTGCTACTAGAAACCAAACAATGGACAAAGTTCAAGAAATTGCAAACTAATTCTAAGTAATTCTAAGAAATAGAGAAAGAAAGAAATTCCAAGAAACAATAAAGTATTATCCAAATCAGAGGAATCACCTACTTGCATTATCCATAGAAAACTTTTCAATAATTCTTATATTCATTAATTTATTAAGACCATTTTAATGGTACTTCTGCTAGACACATGTTAGGGTCTTGGCATTTGGGATACAAAGATAAATAGTTAAGGCACTCAGTTCTAGGCCTTTGTAGTTTTATAGGGAGAAGGATATGCCAAAAATAGTCACAGAGTAGGCAAAAGGAAGGATGAGAGAGACACAGGAAGCCAGTCCAGAAAGGCCTCATAGAGAGGGAACAGTGAATAGTAGTCTTAAAAGATGTCAGAAGCATATCTGAGCGGGGACCAACCACGAGCAAAGAATCAGCAGTGAGAAAGGGTACAGAGGGGTTTGGGCACGTTTGTGAACTTGGAAAGTGGAGAGAACCATAAGCTATTTAGTAACCTAAGAAGAGAAGAAAAATTTCCTTAACATGATAAAAAAAACATCTGCCAGAAATCTATAGTGAACATCTGACTTAATAATTAAACATTAAAAGCCTTTCCATTAGAACTAGAGATAACACAAGGATACTCTTTATCTGCTATTTGACACAGTTCTGCATGTCCCAGTAAATTAAATAAGAAACAAAGAGGTAGAAGTATAGATACTAAAAATGAAATAACAAGATTTGGGAGCCTGGGTGGCTCAGTTGGTTAAGCGACTGCCTTCAGCTCAGGTCATGATCCTGGAGTCCCTGGATCGAGTCCCGGATCGGTCTCCCTGCTCGGCGGGGAGTCTGCTTCTCCCTCTGACCCTCCCCCTCTCATGCTCTCTCTCTCTCTCTCATTCTCGCTCTCAAATAAATAAATAAAATCTTAAGAAAAAAAAAAGAAATAACAAGATTTTTGTTGTTCATGAGTGATCTAGTTTTTGTCCTAAAATATCTAAGACAATCTCTTTTCATTTAAAAATACCAAGTTTAATAATGTGATTAGACATATCAACATATACAAATCCGTCCCATATGCTAATTTTAAAAAAGAAACAGAATAAACACCTACATGAGAGAGAATAGATATATATATTAGCGTGTACTCATATATAATAATGTATAAAATATATATAGTATACTATACAGACACTAACTATATACACTTATATAATCCATCCATGTATATATATAATATACAATCCTATCATGAAATGCATAAAATCTTCACAAAAAGAACTATAAAACTTAGTAAAAGGATATTCAAAAGATCTGGGTTTTAAAAAGACACTTCCTGGATGGGATTACATAACGATATCACGTTGACAATTTTATCTCAGTGCATGCAATACAATTCCGATACCTATTCCAAAAGGATTTTTATTAACAGAACTTGAGAAGTCAGCTCTAAATTAGTCGGGGGCAGTAAAAGTAACCAGGAAAATTTAGCAAAATAAGAATGATAGGAGAACTTAGATATCAAAACAATCAGGTAATATACTTAAAATTACAAGATACTAGCACTAAAACAGGCCAAGTGACAAGGGGGTGAGAACATGGGGTCAAGGAAGATCCCAAAGACTCCTGCATGGTAGGCAGGTGGCTGGCCCTTCTTGGCATGGGGAACACATGCATGGGGGCAGTAAGTGGATTTTGGGGGGTGGGGAGGGGTGGGTACATTGAGATATGTTCCCTGTCATGCATTTGATTTCGTCTTACCTCTCTGCATGTCTTTATTCGGGAATGCTTTTGATAATATAAACTGTGACACACACACACACACACACACACTTTTTAAGGGAGGTCATTCACTGTGTTCCATCAATCCGGCTTCAGGCATTTTTAAGCTTAACTTTAACTTTCTGGAGTGCAAACTGATTTTGACCAAATTTAGTAGAAGACACACCTTACGTCCTATTTGCTTTTCAGTCTGTCACTTTGAAATAACACAGGAGGTAATAAACAGTTTTCTAATCAACACGTGTCCTGTCATTTTTAACTTACGTAAATGAAAATGGGTATAAACATGGTTTACGGAGTTGGGTGATTCCACTGAACTCCAGATTCCATGAAGCCACTGATTTAATAACCACTCCAGGAAGAAAAAAAAATCAACAAAATCAATGCAATTTTGAAACTATATAATGTGTTCTAAGGACACTAACTGTTGTTTTGCATGCTTTTTTCCTATCAGTATCCACTTAGGGAAAAAAATAAGTGAGGGCCCAGCAGTTGTAAATACGGGACACAGAAATAAAGATAGGACACAGGCCCCAATCCGGATGTTGACTCCTTCCACTGGACAGATAATCTAGAGGTTAGTGCACTGTCACAAATAAAACAACACTGATCAACTACAGGAAGCAAGTATGGCCTGGTACCTAGCGTAACCCCAGCTTCTAAAAATACAACATATTGTAGTTTATAACTAATACAATTTATTGGTTATATGCAACGGATCACGGACACTGTCTTTGAACAACCTCTACTTAAACAGCTCCTTTCAGAGTCTCCTATTTGCTCTTTGAAGTATTTGCAGTTGTCATGTCATGTCAACGGGAATGATCTGACAGGTTCCTCTCCCTCCCTTCTTCCTTCCTTCCTCAATCCATCTATTTTGGAGGCAGAGTACCTGGCATCTGCGAACGTCATATTAAGTTCCCCAGGCTGGGTGCTATCCTCTAGGAGCCCTGGGTCTTGGGTTGGGAGAAATAAAGGAAAAGCACAAACAAAAACAAAAACAACAGCTAACCTTTGAGAAGGCACCTTATTTTAACCACACTGGAAAATTTCCAGTTCAGGTCACCTGCGAAGCAACCTTTGATAAGCCTTAGAAAAACAGCTTGTTACCATCCGTGTAGGTTAAAACAATAAAGAAACACCTTGGTTTTCCATCAAACCACTGAAAGCCGTATTTGCAAAGGGCAAGTGATGGGTTCCCCCATTCACTTGGCTTTGGCACAATACGCACAACACCTCGGGGCCAGACCTGAAGGAAGGGAATCATTTAACCGCAGGCACCACCAGGCAGCCAGCCCGGTGAGCTGTTTTTTCCACCCTGTGCCACCTCTATCTCCACCTGCCCACTTCTGCAGACACAAAAAAGAACTGCTGTCTGATGAAGTAAGGAGCATTCTTTTGGTTTGAGCTTTTGGAAGAAAATGATTTCTTGTTTGGTTGTTTTTTGTTTTTTATTTCATTAAATTTTGTACACACACACACAAAAAAGGTGGGAGGAACTGCCTTACATTTCTCTGCTGATCTAGTAGACAGTGTCCAGAAAAACTCAAAGAAACTCTCTAACAACAACAACAAAAAGTCACTATCATTGCTCCGCTATCCCATATCCTCTGTAAGGCCTTGCTCACATTACAAACTTAATTATAGAGATCATAAGCCCGGCTTAACAGGTAGTATTTATCTTTGAATGGGATAAGTGGGCAAGAACCATAAAAGTGTTCTCGGGGGGTGCTCACGCTCTTCACGCCACAGTCTCCCGGCCTCTGTGTATCTTTCTTTGCGTACTTAACCACACTGCACAGTAACTGGCTCTCAGACGTCTGTCTCTTCCCCTGAATCATGTCTTTCTCTTGCCTTGCCATCAGTGTTTCTCTCTACCGTCCCACCAGCATTCAGCCATGCTACTATGGCTCCCGTCTTTGCAAAACACAAACAAAACCCTCCTCTGGCTCACATTCTCCTCTGGCGGCCACTCCTTTCCTCTCCCAGACCTCAGCAGACTTGCCTTCTATCTCCTGTCTGTCTCCAATCTCTCTTTATCCTTCTCCCTGGAATCCAACTGATGGGAGTTTCCTCACCATCTGACCCCAGCACTCTTGTGAAGATGTCCACTCATCACGGACTTGCTGCATACAATAGTCCGTTCTTTGTTCCCACCTTGCCTGACCATGCACCCCATTTGTCACAGTTGCTAGAACCCTCTCCTTCCTCAACACTCTCTTCACTTGTGTGGATGAGCCCCTCTTGATGTTTCTCCCATTTTACTATTCACCTTTTTCATTCTCCTCAACTGGTTCGTGAATGTTTTCTTGACTTCTCAATATTGGTATGCCTCCTTATGTATTCTCTCCCTATGCTCACTCCTGAATAGTTTCTTCCAGACTCATGTTTTACAAACCATCTATATACCAATGAGTCTCAAATTTCTATTTCCCACTCTGGCTTCTCCCATAAATTCTAGACCCATACATACAATTGCCTAGTCAATATCTCTATTTGGATGTCTAATAGGCAATAGGCACGTCCAAGATATATGTGTCCAAAACCAAACACCCAATTCCCCACGCTTCAAACCCAATACTCCACCAATATTAAATTAAACATCACCTTCTTTTACCTAGTTGCTCAGTCACAAGCCCTTGCAACTATCTTTGTGCTTTCTCTTACATCCTAAATTACTCACCTACATTTTTTATCTTAAAAAGTCCTGATCATCTTGCTCATTTTATTGTAGGACCAGAATGAATTTTTGTTAGTTCCACTGAATTCCACTTAGTAATGGTATATGCTAATTAAATATAGGAATGTGTCATTGTTACACTATATACATATCTTAAACACGACCACTCGTTTAACAAATGAAAGCACAATGTCTATAAAATAGTTGGCATCACCGCCCCAGTTTGACAGGCTAAGTCAGCAGAGGTATTTTTTTTATTTTTATTTTTTATTGGGAGGAGGGGCAGAGGGAGAGGAAGAGAGAGAGAATCTTAAGCAGGCTTC